ATGCTTGTTGTCATGAAAAAGTGCATGAATAACCTGCCATAATTCAGCTGCGGTGGAGGTGGTGGAGATGACCAGATCTGAGACTTCGTCAGAAATAGTAGAGAGAATCCACCCTTGGATCAGGGCATCAAGCTGGTACCATTCATCATCATCGGCAGAGGAGGGAGATGAAGAACCCGAGAGAAAACCGTGGAGAGTGAATCGGCGCACCAGGAGAAGAAAAAGCCGGCTCCACTTTTTGTAATTGGGCTGAGAGAAGCTCAGCTGAATCGGGACATGAAGCTTGACGTTGGAGATTGTGGTGAAAGCGAGATGAGGGGGATTGGAGGAGGAGGAGGAGATTGAATTTTCTGTATTTTTGTCGGAGGAAGCCATATGGAAGGAGAGGGTGAGGTTTCGCCGACGTGGGGCTGTGCCGTCGCCGAGAGAGAGAGGAGGGCGGCGGCGGCTGAGCGGCTGGAGAAGGGCACACCGAGAGAGAGAGGAAGAGGAGGTAGGGTTAGGGTTTTGGTTTGAGAATTATGGCTCCGATACCATGAAAAATTGTGATTTTTCCTTGAATGATAAAGTGGGAGTACATGGGTTTATATATACAACCTTTTCCTAATCCTAATCATGGTAGGATTCTACAATAGGAAACAATATTTGTACAATTAATATAGAATATATATTTAACAGTGTGTATCACCCATTTAGTCCTTTCTCATTCTAAAAAATCTCGAAAAAAAATGTAAAGAAATTTTTCTATGCTGAATTATGGTATTAAAGTAATGTAGATTACTATTAAAATTTCAATTTATATTGTTCTACTCCCTCCATAAAAGAAATATGTTCTCATTTGGCTTTTAACGGTCTTCATTAATACTTTGGCAAGTAATATCGATATAATTAATTTATTTCAAAAAATATCTTTCGTCCTAATTTTTTGTGAACCTCATAAAAGATTTTTAAAACCACCTAAAGTATACGACATTCATCCCAATTTAAATCAACTATTTGAATTCAGAATTAAGAAAATAGTTATGTTTGGTACAACAAATTTGAGAATTAGAGCGGAATCAAAAATTAAAATTCATACAGTATATTAGAAAACAACATCAAAAGTTCTAAAAAAACAAAAAGTGACATAACTATTTTATTTTATCGAATGAGTAACAAAAATAGTGGGGGAAAAAATGAATGAGTTTGACTCAGTAAATAGTTCACAAGCAATTTAATTGGGGATGGAGGGAGTATAAAATAACTTCAAAATCTACACGCAATAAACTATATACGTTAGAGAATGATTTATGATTTACCATTTCAACATCTCCGATTCAATAAAAAAAATAGGAATATTTAATATGTATATTCTTCTTATTCTTGGAACTAAAATTGCATCCGTATTTTTTGCAAGCCCAAGTAAATGCAAAAAAAAATTAAGAAAAAAGCACTATACGTTTTCACAATAATATTATTTTCTTAATTTTATATTTTCTTTCTTTTTTGTTTATAAAGAAATCAATGACTAAGGGAAATACTAAATACGTTTTTTCATGTTCTTTCTTTTTCCGTCCCTGAGTATTTGTCCAGTTTTGAATTTTTTAGTTAACCATTTTCAACCTTTGACCTATAATCAAATGAAATTTTTATTGTATATTAATTTGATAACATAATATTTAAAAAATATTTGATATAATAAATTTAATAAAACTACTTTTGTGTCAATATCTAATACCATTTTATTTAATTTGAGGTCAAAGTTTACCAATTTTGACTAAAAAAGTCAAAAGTAGATAAATACTTAGGGACGGGAAAAGTATTAATTAGGAGTAAATAATTTAAACACATAATGAAAAGTATTCTTTTATAAAAGAATTCTTTTATAAATGTTGCATACTCCCTCCGTCCCACTGTCTTTGTCCACTTATCTTTTGGCACACCATCCAATGCACTTCTTTAATCCATTTTATCTTGTAATTTGTATATTAAAAAATTATAGAAATTATATATTAATAATCTATATGTTAAGACGAAACAAACAAGATCACACATGACTATTTTTAGGCTTACACATTGAGAGAATTTGATGAGTCAAAGTGCTTAGATGAACAGTTCCAAAAGTCAAATGTAGACAAAGACAGTGGGACGGAGGTAGTATATGCTAATAGTACTATATAGTGTTAAAACGATATAATCTATACACAACGATTAAAATTAGTTCTATGATGCAAAATTGCAATGATGTAACAAATTCGGCACTGCTTCAAATGCATAAGAGAAAAAGAATCAATGATCTATATATCCTCTATTACACGTGCCATTAATTTCAGTGAAGGTAATCAGGCTACAAGCTTTTTTATTTTAATTTCATCCTGTGCTATCATACTAAATTATTTTTTTAGACTTGCCCTATTACTTTATGTTGGGGATTCCTTCAAGTCCCACACCGGAGGGAGAAGAAAAAAATGGACCAAAATATATAGGTTCACCCAACCCCATTAATATGAGGCCTTTTGGGAAGTTCCCAAAAATAAATCCGTGAGGGCTTGGCCCAGAGCGGACAATATCATACTAATGCGGGGTTGGGGTGAGGGCACACGTAGTCCCAACATGTGGTATCGGAGCCCAGGTTCTTGTGGGCGTGAGGCAGACTGTGTAGTGTGGAAAAATCTTGGTGTGACGGTGTAACAATAGGACCAAGACGAAGAAAGAGGATCTGCAGGTGGTGCCTTGTGTCGAAAGTCTTCCCGGCGAGAGGAGGTCGGGCGGCGTGTCCCGTGAAGTTATAGCCACGGCGGTACAAGATGATTTGGCGGATCAAAATGGTGTAGCCTAGCGAAGAAAAGATTTGCGGTTCGAGCCTTGCGTCGAAAGTCTTTCCGACAGGATGTCGGGCGGCGTGTCCCGCAAAGAGTGTGCGGTGGTGCAAGATGGTTAGCAGATAAAAAGGAAAAATGGATTACCGCTGGAGGGGAGGTCGGAAATTGTGTGGTCCTTGGTTTTGAGGGGAGGTTTGTTGGGGATTCCTCCAAGTCCCACACCGGAGGGAGAAGAAAAAATGGACCAAAATATATAGGTTCACCCAACCCCATTAGTATGAGGCTTTTTGGGAAGTGCCCAAAAACAAATCCGTGAGGGCTTGGCCCAGAGCGGACAATATCATACTAATGCGGGGTTGGGTGAGGGCACACGCAGTCCCAACACTTTATACCATTTTTTAATTTAAAAATATGTGACATAATGAAAATATGGATTACAGATATTCAAAGTCAAGGAAACGAGAAATGGGATATGGCAAAAGATGCAAGAACACGACGAAAGATATACTTTTACGAAAAAGGGTGCAGAATGGTATGTTTACTGTAGCTTCAACTATTTAATAAATGTTTAAAATTTTATATCACTTAAAAAATAATTAATGAAAATTTTAATTTCTTATCTCTATTAAACTTCTATTATAGATGTAAAGTGTTCATCATCAATGTCACACGAATTTCAAACGTCAATTAGTACTTCAGGCAAGCTAAAGTACAATGATGCGAACACATCGACACAACGACGAATGCATAATTTACAAAGAAACATTAATCTATCTTCTATATCACGTGCCATTGATTTCATTGAAGGTAAAGCATACAAAGAGCTTCATTATGTATGTATTACGATGTCTATATCATGCACTATACATATGTGCATATAATAGATTTATGAACATGTTATATTCCTAGAAATCTCTATTTATGTTAAAAAAAAAAATTTTGAACAAAGCACAAAATTATATTAAACCCAAAGAACAGTTTCCAGTACAACAAATCTATTTATGTTAAATTATGTATGAACAATTTACATATCATGAAAGAAATGAAATAAAAAATTGTCATTCTATTATTTATTAAATGTGGGAATACTAAAAAAGCACATTAACCATATTTTACAATTATGTTCATGACCTAGAATGTGGGAATACTAAAATAGCACATTAACCATATTTTATGAATTTCAACCATATTATCTTCATAATTTAAATTATTTATTAAATGTGTTATCATATAAACTTTTAACATATTTTTTTAAAAAATCCCATGTAAACATATCAAAACTGATTGCAGGCATACAGTGCAAACAAACAAGAAATGGGAATTGGCAAAAGATGCAAGAGCACGAAGAAAAGATATATGTGAACGAAGAAGAGAGAATCACGGTTATTTTAAGCTTGACTTTTTATATATATCCATATTTAAAATATGTATATCAATTCAAAGTTAAAGAGTAAATATTGTAAGAGTATTCTTTGTTTATATAAAATATGTTTACAGATGGTGAAGGATCATCATCGTTCGTAACAATTACACCATCTCGATCATAAAGAAAATTAAATCCAATACTGGATGTGACAAACGGTATCTATACTAATTAATTCATTTGTGACATCTGTTTTGTCTATTAAATAAACATATTTTACATGAGTTTGTATTTATACAACTTACTACACAGTATTGGCATCGCGCCAAGTACGATCATTGATTCAAAAGAGTTCAACGACACTTGATTACAATTATGCAACAATTGTAACATACCTTGAGTCTTGTGTGAGACAAAGAGAATTGATTTGCCGAATATAACACGTTCTATTAGAAATGGGCCCATGTATTTCCATTACTATGTAGCAAAAAGTATTCACATATCTGATTTTTCTTCGTATATGATACATGTGTGATATATTCCAATGGCATATTTCTTTATAGAATTAGTGGCAAAGTCTTCTTGCAAGCATGCAAATTCGAAAGAGTTGACAATTGATAATCTTTTATTTGTAATAGCAGAAATAAAAGGTACTTATAGATTTAATTTAAATAACTTGCTTTAGGTGAATTTACATATACGAAAATCTATTTATACAGAACCATTTGATTTTGGTGATCCATCCTTCAAGTGTGCATTTTGTGGAGCTTTGTTGTGGTATGAGAAAAGGGCCGAAAAGTCTAGAGTCTGCAAATCCAGAGTTGATGCAAGAACTTCTCATTTTACAACAAATATAAGAAAATTTAATTATATGTTTTCATTCACTTCATTTGATGAAAAAGTACAAAAGTCTCAAAACAATGGCAGAGCAGCCCCGCAGTTTACAATGAAGGGGAAAAATGATCACAACATTGGATCTTTATTGCCACAAGAAGGTTTTGTTCAAAAATTCACTCAATTATACATATATGATACCCAAAATGAAGTCTCAAACAAAATAAGTCATTACATGTACTTACTAGACCCATGCTTGAAGTTGTTGAAATGATCAATGATTTTGTTTTGCCTCTTATTCCTAAAGATGAAAAGGAGTATTTGAGCTCTGATTCTTCATTTCAAGCAGATACAATGTAGGCATAGATGGTGATTGCATAACGACTGAGTTTTTGAACAATATCAAGTGTATGGGATTTCAAACCACAGAATTGTTTTGAAAAAAGGTGTACCAATTATGTTATTGAGAAACATTAATCTAACATCAGGGTTGTTAATAGTTGAAGAGTTGTGAAGAAGTGCTATCGGTGCAATTGTTGTAACAAGAAATAATGTCGCCGAGAAAGTTTACATATATATCACGGATGAATTTGGTACCGTCAGATCCTGAATTACCATTTAAGTTTCAAAAGAGACAATTTCCAATATCTTTATGTTTTGGCATGACGATCAATAAGAGTCAAGGCCAAACATTATCATTTGTTGGATTATTCTTGACCAAATCGGTATTCACTCACGGTCAACTTTATGTAGTAGTTTCACGTGTGAAAACTAAGAAAAGATTGAAAGTCTTAGTTTTAGATGACAATGGTAACCCTTGCAATTGCACAAAAAATGTGGTTTATCTTGAAGATTTCCAAAAAATATGAATGTAATTAATACATTTCTACGTTCTTTTCAATTTTTAAATACATGAATTTTAGTTAGCATACTCTGTTTATGTCATATCATACATTAAACTTCTAACATTGTATATTAAAATAAGCTATATTTTTTAATCATTTACTTAATCAAAAAACTTAACAGAGTTAAAAACAACATGAGTACGACCCCGTGCGTTACACGGGTTAAATACTAGTTAGATCTAAAATAATTCAGTTAAGAATACTTTAATAATAAACAAATTAAATCTCAATAAATTCACACACTTACCTTCAAAGTTCAAAAATAACAATACAAAGTGCATAGAATAATAGACATAAATCCAGAATAAAACTTCAAGAGATAGAAATAAAATCAATCTCAACAATAAGAAATTTGAAAGAAAATCTGACTAAATGAACAAATAATTAAAGCTAAACTTATGAACCATCAAGAAATCATGCAAAACCTGCTATTATTATTATTATTATTATTATTATTATTATTATTATTATTATTATTATTATTATTACGGAGTAACGTAGTATAAGGAAGATGAATTATGTGGTTACAATTTATGTTAATAAACAAAATAAAAGTAACTACTCCGTATAATTTTTGTAGTGCTACATTTGTGAAAATTTAGGAAAATGTGTTACTAGTAGTTTTCAATCCAAAATGTATATGTACAACTAAAATCTAAGAATTGATGCATAAAAGTACTCTATAATTATATATAACATTAGAAATTAATCTACACATACATATGCATGCTTGGCTCCACATACGCCATTCAAGGAGATCCATCGTGTGTCTCGATGAGTTCCACAAATGGCATACAGGGAGCCAGGCATATACTGTATATAAATGTATACGCATTGTGTATGTATGAACTCATTTCTGAATCACACAAAAAATAAAAACTAAATAGAGCAAAACCAGAAGAATAATGTTTGTATTGATGATGATCAAATAGATCTTTTATATATATAAGAAAAATGAAGAGAGAGGGAGAGAGAGGGAGAGAGAGAACCCACAAAAGAAGCATAGCCTAGCTTCTATTGCAACAATGAAATTGAAAAAAAAAGAGTTTTTTTTCTTTCTTTCTTTGTTGTGGAGAAAAAGGAGGGATGGGTGTGGGCTTGTGAGGATGGGAATCAATTCAAGCTCACATTATATATAAAGAGAGAAAAAGAATAAAAAGTTAGTGGAATGGGTGTGGTAGCTATATAAGCTATGCATATATATATATATATGCTCTCTCCACTCTGGTTTTATTGGCATAGTTTCACTTCACAATTTTTGAAAGAAAGAAAATTGATATATATTTTTCATCTCCCACAAAACCTGTCTTGTTTTTAATTATTTTTATGTGACTTACGGAAGAGATACTTTTTTATTGATTTTTCCAAATTACCCTTGATGTAATGTGTCAGAATACAATGTGATAAATAGATTATTATTGAATAAGTACGATTTGATAGATATGGAAAAATCAGTAGGGGTAAAAGTCATTTTTTGATAAAAAGGAGAAATAGATTTTAGGATTCAAAAAAAAGAAAAGAGAAAGAGTTTGTGAGACGGCTGGAGTAAGACACTCATTTCTTTCTTTTAAAAAGAAATAAGAGAAGCCTTAAAATTTAGAGTAATTCCAAAATGTTCCTCTATAATAAGATATTTTCCAACATCTGTCCTCAATAAGTTTTAATTTTAATTATCTACGTAAAAGTTTATTTTGGAACATTGAGTACACACACCTTCATTAACAATTAAATAAAATTATATTTCACACTTTCAGTACGTTTTCAAGAATAAAATTAGTGGCGGATTCAGGAATTCAGGTAGATGGAGGCAGTTGGTCGGGAGTCCGGGGGCGTTGCCCCCGAAATATATGAGATGACAAAAAAATATTAGATTTTATTTCTACCATTTATTGAATGTAAAACATTTATTAATAGGTAATGTAAAATTTTATTTCATAAACAATTAATTATGTGTAATAAAATACACTTTACTAAAAAAATCAATAAAAAATTTAATTTAACTTGATTAAATGGGATCACATTAATTTTTGTTGGGGGCATATGTACATAATTTTTTTAAAAAAAAAACTTTTACCTTATAACAAAAATTAGTAGGGGGCATATGCCCCCAACTCCAATAAAGTGCGTCCGCCACTGAATAAAATTAAAACTTTTAAATATTTTCCATATTTTACTCCTTAGTTTTCTCTAAAGAATAATCATACTCGGGTAATTCAACATAAAGTTCTTGTACTCTACTTCCTATCAATCATATTAAAATAATAGATTCATTTTTTTAAATAAAAATTACTTCTAAATCTATTTTTTAAGATTAATCTTTTTTTTTTAAATAAAGGAGATGTATATAAAGGTTATAGCTTTATGTTGAATGGACTGGTGTGGTTTGATTTCTTCTGCATTGTTTGAACCTGCGCACTATAATGTCTGTTTTTAGTGCTTTGGAAGCTTTATTTATTTGGACTCCTTTCTCTCTCTCTCACTCACAAAAGCACCAGACACATACAGCTTTTTGTGAAATAATGAGATTCTATTTCAAAAAATAATTAAACAAATAAATAATACAATCTCTTGTACTCTAAAAAATTTTCATAATTCTTTTCGTTCTAAAAAAAGGTTCACTTTCTACTTTTTTATCTCGGATCCTTTTTATGCAACACTTTTAATTATAGCAACAATATAATTTTATCTTTTAAATTTTCGAATCTGATCTATTCTGAAATATTATTGCGGGAGGGAGGAAATATAATTGAACAATAAATATTAAAAGAGATTGTTCAAATCTTGTACAGGGGAGGGTCGAGAGGAGGCGTTACGAGTGGATGGAGAGAGTCTACGCCAAAGTGATGAATCATTACGTGAATCTGAGTAATCACACCTCACATTCAAACGTCTATATACACTTTTTTATATATAAAGTGAAACGTCCACTCCCAGATAAAGAAAAGATAAATCATGATATAATGTTAATATGGTATTTTGAGTAATCGTCTCGTGTCCGATGCACACAAAGAGTTACGTTATTACATTTAATACTCTCACATTGTCGCTGCTGGAAATCTTTTATATCTGATCGAAGTCTCGGACTTAACACTCTTCCCTCAAAACCATCAAATAAAGCAAATCTCGAGCATTTTTAGTTGCTCTCACATTATTATTGGCCTTGTTAGGAAACAACGCTTTTCAATTTACATTAGTCTTTTGGATAAATTTTAATGGCGTCGATTAATTTTGAAAACTGCTAGAGTTTCCAAATTGGATCCCGATTTTATATGCAAATGATTAATTAATTTTATCCGGCACTCTACCAGTTGTTCTCGATCCAACGGAATTTTAACAAAAACGTTAACAATAATAAAAACTACGGTCATCTTGTTTTTTTCAAAACACTAACTTCTAACGTTGTTGTCAAACAGCACCATTATTCATAAGTGTTACATTTTTTATCTCTACTTTTTCTTCTTCTTTCTTCTTTTGTTTCAAATGAGAGGCGTTTCTAGATTTTATTAAGGGAAATATTTGTTATTTATTTTGCATTTAAGGTGTTACTTAATACAGCTAATGATTGTGTTTAATCTTATATTAACTCGCTACATGTCAAAATGGTGCGAAGTACGAAAGTTGGAATTTAAAAGCAAAAATATCAATTCTTTATAATCAATACCTCTGTCCCGAAATATTTATCTAGTTTTGACTTTTTACCATCAACAAAAATCAATTTTTGATCAATAATGAAATAAAAATAATATAGTATATTAATTAGATAAAATAATATTTTAAAACAAGAATCTAATATATATATATATATATATATATATATATATATGGTGTATGTATGTATGTATCAATATCTAATATAAATTTTACTTAAAAATGATAAAAAATTACCTATTTGAACTACAAAATATATGCAACAATTTAATGTACTGGCCATTTTTCAAGGTACATTATTCCTCACTTTTCATTTATGTTTTATAATAATAATAAATCATCTGATATAATATAATTATTTTATTTAGGATTGTGTGAGAGCTTTAGATGGGACTCTTATTGAAGCTACTATATCAGATGAAAAGAGTTTACCATTTCGAGGACGTAAAGGAAACAAAACATGGAATATTATGGCTTCATATTCATTTGATAGTCTTTTCACATTTGTGAATGTTGGATTCGAAGGTAGTGCTCATGACATAACCATGTGGAGTCATAGCTTGTCTGAAGCAAAATTTCAGTTTCCACACCCACCACCACTTATCAAAATTTTAATTTATAATTCTAAGGTAGTACTCGTAAGGCATATGCACATAAATTTCTAACGTTTTTTTTAAATATAGAAAATACTATTTGGTTGATTCTGGATATCCAAACACTCTTGGGTATCAAAGTCCAATAAGACATAAAGATGTTAGAGATCACATGCCTAAATTGTTACAATTTTTGTATGGATTACAACGGACGAGAAAGATGAACGGCCCCGGAAAATAAAATTAAATAAAATTCTGAATTTATAACTTATTCAGAATATTACAAGATAACCAGAATTAAAAATAAATTTCTATATCTTCAAAAAGTCTTGTTGTGTGAGGACATTAAGCACTGGGCTGCGAGGACGTTATACACTGGGCTGCGAGGACATTATGCACTGGACAACAAGGACATTATGTCCTAGGGCAGAATGCAGCGAGGTCTTTATGAAACTAAACCTGCAAAATAAAACACCGTGGAAGGACAACGGAGTCGCCGAAGCTGTCCTTAAGGTAGTCGTGCCCGCCAACCATACCGGAAAAACGTGGGCACTCTCCTCCCAGGATAAAACCGCTATCGTGTGTGGAGATTGTACGGACCAACCACACACCAACGAACAAGAACAATGTAGGAACGTTGGCGACCAAAAACCTTTTCAAGGGGATTGCCGGAAAGTTGGCCGGAAAATCAAGAGCTCTCTCTAAAAAAAGAAAGTATTTTCCCTTTCTTTTTTTCTCTTCCTCATGTATGAAACAAAACAAAATAATGGAGAGCCCCCTTGATTTTTATAAATAGGGAATTTAAAAAGTGTAACTCCTACACCATTAATCCTTAGTGTTAAATCATGGCATTTCACTGCTACAAAAACGACCAAATAAATCTCCCAATTTGCATCGGTAACCAAAACAAGCGATGTAAATGAAAAAAAATTCACGTACCGCTTAGCTTTTGGATCAGTTATTTCTAATAACCGATTCAAAATGTTATTTGAATCGATTATTAGAAATAACCGATCTAAATGCTTTTTAGCTTTTGGATCGGTTATTCCTAATAACCAATTCAAATAACCTTTTGAATCGGTTATTAGAAATAACTGATCCAAAAGACTTGATAAAATACATCCACCATGTTCTTATCCTTACGCGATTTTGAAAAAAAACCCTTCAAACCCTTTCTGATCTTTGTCTTCGTCGTGCTTGTGCTTGTCGACGTTGTCTTCTCACCCTCGCCGTTGCCGTGCCACTGCCGCCTTGCCGTCGCCGTTCCCTTGCCGCCTCGTGCCTTGCTCCAGCCTCGTCGTCGCCGTGTTCCCGTTGTCGTTGCCTCGCCGTGGTCAACTCCCCAGCCTTGCTGTTGCCGTGTCGCCTCGTGCCCTGCTCCACTTCGACCTCGTCCACCTCACCCTCGTCATCGCCGTGGCGTTCTGCCGCCTCGTGCCCTGCTGCCCCGCCTCTCCCTTGTCAACTCCCAGCCTCGCCGTCATTTTTCTTTAAGGTATTTTATTTAATTTTTTTAACATTAAATATTTAATTATACTATTATTTGTTTATACATTTTTGGATTAGGTTAATATTTAATTTACTATATATTTGAATTGGTTTTGTGTATATGTTTAAGTTGAAATGTGACAATTTGATATAGATTGCGTTTCAAAAATAGATTGTTTACTTACTTTGTGTTTGATTCTACATGATCTGAGATGTTATAATATAGAAATAACATATTTTGACCGACCTAGATACCCGTTTAAAATTTACTCATTAGGAGTAAATTTTAAATAGCTCCCAATTTGGAGCTGTTCTTGAAATGCTTCTCTCACTTAGGTAGTGAATGTATTTCTTTCTCTTTGTTCCGTCATTTTTTGGTTTGACGTTTCCTAAATGTGTTCTTCGGGTGCATATGTAATTACGTTACATCATGCACTTGGAGAACCATTGGGAAATGCTGCCGAAATTTTGATAGGTCAAAAAAAATGAAATACATTTACTAGTGAGGGTGGCATTTCAAGAATGAGTTAGGATGGTGTAAAGAAGGACCATTTGTATAATGAAGAAGTGCTGCCAGATTTTTGTTACATTATAAGAAATAAAATATTGTGTTGCTTGTATTTCTTATATGTTTGTGTGTATATACAAAATGAGTGTTAATAATTTTGTTGTGCATTGTTTTGCATGTATCAATCATTTGCCCTTCTTTCTTGCTTAGCAATTCATATGATGGATAGAAGTTCGATTCATATGTCGCGTACATCACCTGAGTTTAGTTCTGGTTTGGAAGAGTTTATTTGTTTCGCAGAGAAACATTCAAAAGAAGGAAAAAAGCTATATTATCCATGTAACTCAAGTCACAACCATTTTATGGTTGATAGCGTTAAAGATATAAGATTACATGTGTATCACAAGGGTTTTAACCCAACATACATGCGATGGAAATGGCATGAACAGTTAGAAAATCCTCGCAGCTCTAGCTATACTCATAATGACCAAGTCGAGGATGATATTCACGACATCCACAATCTTGAGGTTGAAATGGAAGATGAGTTACGGGCCACTCAAGATGTTACTCCTGATCAAGTCGTCATTGATGAAGAGCGTAATATGTACGAGAGCTTAGTAGGAAGCTCAAAACGCCCGTTGTATCCTGGTTGTACAAAGTTTAAACGTTTGAAGGGGGTTTTGGAATTGTTCAATTTAAAAGTAGCAAATGGGTGGAGTGACAAAAGTTTCACGTCTTTATTAAGTTTGTTGGGTGAACTTCTTCCAGATGGACACGAATTGCCATCGTCCACTTATGAGGCGAAGAAAATGATGTCTCCAATGGGTGAGGGCTACAAGAAAATACATGCTTGTATTAATGATTGCATTTTATATCAAAATGAGTTCGAGAATCTCAACGAATGTCCCAAGTTTTTTTCTCCAAGATACAAGGAGTCAACCAAAATGACTCATAACAAGGACAATATGAAAAAAACCAAAAAGACTCCTGCTAAGGTTTTGTGGTACCTTCCAATAATACCAAGGTTCAAGCGTTTGTTTGATTCGATAAAGGACGCTAAGAATCTAGTGTGGCACACAAAGCAGCGAACAGATAATGGCACCCTGCGTCATCCTGCCGATGCCCCACAGTGGAAGACGATTGACTACACATTTCCGGAGTTTGGGAACGAGGGGAGAAACCTTCAATTAGGATTGTGTACTGACGAAATCAATCCTTTTGGAAGCTTGAGTACGCAACATAGTACTTGGTCGGTACTGCTTGTCATTTACAATCTTCCTCCAGAGTTGTGCATGAAGCGCAAGTACATCATGCTATCGTTGTTAATACTTGGGCCTAAACAACCGGGTAATGACATTGATGTATTCTTAGCCCCAATGATTGATGACTTGAAGGAAATGTGGATTCATGGTGTCAAAGTATTTGATGCTTATCGTCAAGAGTGTTTCACGTTACGTGCTATGATTCTTTGGACAATCAATGACTACCTAGCATACGATAACCTATCTGGTTATAAGATTAAGGGAAAATATGCATGTTCGATATGTGAGGAGAATACTTCTAGTGTGTGGCTAAAGAATGGAAAAAAACAGTCTTCCTAGGTCATCTCCGATTTTTAAGACGTCAACATCCTTACCGTCAATTTTCTGCTTTCAATGGTCAAGCAGGAAATGAGCTTTCAATGGTCAAGAAGAAAATGAGGCAGCGTAGTAGCAAGGCGTCTACATATATTGTTTAATTTAGGTTTCAAGTTCGGTTTACGTTTACTTGTTTCCGACATTAGTTTACTAATTGTTTTTTGTAGGTTGCTGCTTGTTACTTGAGGATCTCTGATCCAGCTGATTATATAGTGGCACATGGATCGGTTTTCCCACGTGCACTAGGAGATATGGTGCACGGTGTTCCCCTCGTTCCTCACCAGGTTAAGGTCTCTGTGACCGTTGTGCTTCCTGGAATGGGTGAGTATACCATTCCTTGTCCGACTGAGCATATAGAGAATGTCGCCGATTGCGAGGGGAGCTTCGTTGCATGGCCAAAGTCGTTGGTGGGCTTTAGAGATGTAAGAAGTAAATAAATTTAGTTTTTTTATTCAAAATCATTTGGCTGTGTTTCAAATATCTTTTTTTTTTGAAAATATTCGTAGCGCTCGTTGCACACAGCTCGACATGGTGACTTCTCATCAAACAAATCCCGTCCTATTCTCGGCGTACGCCCCACTGCTCCTCCTAGCTCTCCCATACAGGATGTTGTTGACCGGAGCTCATACGTCTCATTCGGGCCGAGGTGCAGGGAGTTGTGTCAGTGGTTGACACGCACATCAGATTTGCCTACCATCAGCGTCATTCTCGATCCCGAGTCTATGCTCTATCCGGAGGAGACGGAGCTGAGGATGCGTCCGGAGAATATACGTGAGTTCATGCGATGGGAGAAGGTCGATCAGACCATCATCATTGTTTTCTTAAGGTATTTCAAGCACTACGTATGAATAAATTACTATTGTAAATTATAATTATTTATTATAATTGTAATTATTATTTACATGTGAAATTACTAGATTATTGCACGATCATATGATGGAGCACGACATCGCGTCTGTCGGGTTGTTATGTCCGGAGAACATGGCGTACGTGGTAGATTTTGGAGATCGCCAGTATCTAGATAGAGCACTCGAGACCTATCAATCACAACCCTGGATACTTATGCCATTGTATCTATCAATACCGTATATTTTCTAAACCATTTCCAATATGTATTTCGGTTTTTTATTTTACATATAGTGACTAACGCTTTTTAAATTGTAGGCATCATTGGGTGTTAGTTGTAATATATTTGTTTCAGAACAAAGTATATTTCCTAAACTCAATCAAGGCGACCAGAGGGCATAAGAAAATGAAGGTGAAGACTTTCTTCAACGAGTAAGTATTAAGAAATTTATTTCTTATTAATGAAATTCTTTATTTGTTACGATATTAATTTCTTATTGACTATTTTTTACATATATTAAAGGTCTTGGCGGTTACTTCGGGAACGACACATGCCTTAGCTTAAGGCTCGACCGGATTGGGTTGATGTTCCCGGAGTACCCCAACAAGTAGGGAACGTTGAGTGTGGTTATTATACCATGCGATTTTGTTGGCTCATCGTCAGTATGTGTGCACAATGTTCTTTACCGTTATCCGATGTAAGTTTATTTTAGTGTGTTTTTGAAAGTAATGAAGTGTTTATCATCATTTTTTTCTTCATAGATTATTAAACATTATGTTGTATGTTCTTTTCGTAATGCAGGTGTTTCAGTCTACTTCGCCTTATACTAGAGCCAAATTAGAAGAGATTAGAGAGTTTTGGGCGGGGGATTTTCTCGATGAACTAGCGTAAGTTTCGTATTGTATTGTATTGTATTAGTTGTATGGATATGTTAGAAGAGTGCAGTTGTTTGACTCTTAGTTGTGGTGTTAAAACTTAGTTTGTAAATGTTGATATTTTTTAGAATGTACAAGTAGAGATTGATGCAAAGGTTTACTTTTTTGGTTTAATTTATTTTGTGGCATTTGGGTTTTGTGAATGTATTTGTGCGTTTTTGGTTTGTAGTTGTTGTTGTGTTGATGGGTTGAATTCTTGTTGTTGTTGAACCTGTATATTTTGCACAAAATTTTATGAAAAAATAAATATGTAGTAAATTGGAAGCAAAAAAAATAAACCATTTAAAAAAATAATCTTTTGCATCGATTATTACAAAATAACCGATGCAAAAGCATCTACCCAGATCCGGCGCCAATTCTGGATAAAAGCTTTTGCATCGGTTATTACAACCGATGCAAAAAGTTACCTGAGCATTTGCATCTCTAGCTTTTGCATCGGTTAAAAACCGATTTAAAAAGGTCAAAATAACCGATTTAAAAAGTCTTTTTTGTAGTGGTGTTTGTGGCACACTAATGACGTGTTAATGGTGATTAATTAGCCATTAACACGTCCGTTATGCTACGCTCCGTTTAAAATTTGTCCCAAATAATTGGAGATTAATGGCCTGTTAACTCCGTAAAAATGGACTAATTTTAAACAATACGTAAAATAAATAATAGAAGATTGGTTTAGTAAAATTGCAAAATTGCAATCCTTACCATATTCTTCTATTAACGGGTTAATTCTGAGAATCAATTTCTCATTCACCCTCTACCATTTTTGGCGTATAAATTATCAAAACATTTATCTCATTTAAGAGAACACGCGTCAATTAATTAACGGTTAAAATGTTAGTGGACCTATTGACAAATATACCCAAGTTGGTCCATTTAATGACTATTAAAAATGCCAAAAATTCCAACATGAATTTCGTGGAGGCCCATTACCCAATGGGATGCTGGAGCGTTTTAATTACAGACACTCATCATTGTGAACAACAATTGAAAGATGCTTTGGGGTACTAAAAAAGAGATGGAAGATTTTGAAAAATATGCCCCAAATGAAAATTGAATATCAGTTGGCTATTATGGTGTCAACATTTATGCTTCATAATTTTATTCGGCTTCATGAGATAGGTATCCCATATTCTGCTGGAGACGACGTTGAACCGCAAAGTGATAGTACTATGTTCGACACGGAAAGCAAGACCAAAATGGATGAAGTGCAACTTAATATAGAAAAAGAAATTTGGAATTCAATGAGTGGGATTGAAGAGAATACGAGTGTATAACATTTTATTCAATGTATTATTTATAGCATACATCGTTTTTTTTGTCAAGCACATCTAGCATGTGGTGTAATATTATACAAGATGCAGAAAAATGTATTATTTCTTTGCTTAACATTGATAATATAAGGATGAGATATTTTAATAAAAATATTATATCTTCTCTATATTGATTATCTAAATTTAATTAGTTTTTAATGTATATATGAATTAAATATTTATTCTAGTGTATATATGAACTAATTATTAAAATATTAAATCAATATTCTTATTCATAAAAATATGAGTTAACTAATTTGAACTAATTATTAAAATATTAAAAAATATATATTGAATGATTATTCTAATATATGAGTTAACTAATTTTATTTCATTAAAAAATAATCATAAAATAAAAAATATTGATTATATTATAATATGAATTATCATTACAATTTTCAATCAGATCAGATCCAAAAAGATCAGATCAGATCAGATCCAATGAGATCAGATCAGAAAAAATAAGTTGAACAAAACGGAGCCTTGATCCATAAGTTAGAGGTGGCTTACTAGGAGTAAGATTAGTGTCCACATTTGACACTTATCACTAGCTTAGATAGCTACGCATTATCCTCACCATTAAGTAAAAATAAACTTATAAAAAAAAAGGGAAGGGGGGTGGGGTTGTGAATTTTCCTTAAGTCCATACCTAAGCAAGTGCCCTTTTGTTTAAAGATTTGAGAAGTTTTAACCACAATTTAATATATATACAACATAACTATATTTTATTTATATATAGAAATTAAACGATGTTTACATAAGTTATCTTTTGTTATTTCTTTTAATTATTTAGTAAAGTGATTAAGACATACATATCTTATAGTTTTCTTTTTTTAAAAAATGATAATAATAGTAAACAATTTTTCATATGTGAATTATGGTTCAAAAATTTCCAAAGGGTTAACCAGTATTCCTCCATTGTCGTATGTATGAGCTCATAATAATGGACTCGTCTTGTACCCAAAGTACTTAAAGTCCCAAAAATACATTGATAGATAATGGACTTGTCTTGTACTCTAAGTGCTTGAAGTCTCAGTTAAACAAGAATAGAAGAAAAGAAAAAAAGTTGACTTTCTGACTGCTACAGTTTTATATAAAAAACGTGTTTATATTATTGCGGTGAGAATTTTTATGAAAGGTATATGTTTACGTTATTATATTTTGTACTTATTGTTGTAATTGGTACCACTCAGCTTTTGCTGATCGGGTTGGCTACATTTTTAGGTACACAGATAGAAACTGACAACCTTGCTGGAGGACAGTACGTACTGATGCTTGAAGGATCAGACAGATGGATTCCGATAGGACTACTACTAATAATACCTATGAATAAGTCATGTTATGACAATATAACAATATCTTTATGTTATCAAGTTTTAAGCTTCCGCATGTATAATATTACTCTGATATTATCAATAAATAGGTAAAGTTTGTTTAATGCTCCCATTATCGTTTTAAAAAGTTATATTTGTTAACACCATGAAACAGTTATACGAATAGTGGTGGTTTTGTAGAATTGTTCATCTTTAGTGCAGGATTAGCCTTAGCTCTGGTAGCTTTAGCTTCTTCAACTTGAGCAACCTTAGTTGCTTTATTTTTGGCTCTCTCATTACCTTCTCCTCCTCCCAAAACTTATTTCTATGTATTTCATGTAGGATAGAGCACTCAAAGGGAATATGGCCAACTCCATGGTAATGATAGTAAAACGAGGACATATCCACTAACACCCTACAATAACCCATATTCTTAAAGTTATTGGTTAATTGATCTAAATAAATTGAAGTGCCCAAATCAGACACCACATTTGACATATTCATAGATAACCAAAGTTGCAATGGGACTTTCAAAAGTTCCATCCACATAGCCTTCTTAGAAAAGGATTTAAAGTCGAAAATGATTTCATCATGAGGTACCTTCAGTATATATAAGTTCCTTACTATTAAACCTATGGGTCTCCTTTTTCAAGACAGTTCCCATATCTTCATCATTCTGAAATTTCAACACCATACATCCCTTATGTTGTGAAATGATCTCAGACGGCACACTTGAGCTATCAATTAGTGTTTGGAGGGTTTTCATTCGAGGGATCGTGCTTATAAAGTAGCCTACCAAGCAATACCCACACACATCCTCAATTGGGAAGACATCTTCATTAGGATTGACTAGATTGTTGGGATTTTTCACTTTCACTTTAAGTAGTTTCATACCATTTGAATCATCCATGTTGCGCTTAAACAAAGATGCGTAGGTAGACTTCTTCTCTGATTGAGGCATTTCATTGGACACCTTTATATCAGCATGGTCTACGAACTCAGTGGCCAACTCCTTTTCAATCTCTTCCACATGGGACAAAGATTATTTTGAGTGGTTCTTAGATTCAAAGAATGTATCATCATCATCCTCCACTTCAAGTCTTCAACCTCATTACCATCTTCAACATCATCCACAACCTCTACTTCATCAATCAGTTATTCATCAATTTTAAATTTCAAGATTTTTTTGTTGGGGGTGGGGTTGTGGATTTCTTGGCGGAAGCATGCTTCCCACCCTTTAGCATGATGTTAGGGGAGTTCAGCAATCAGAGAAATAAAGCCACACTTACTATGAAAGCCATCAAAGTTGAAGGTTGAATAGTTGTCGTGGAACCCTTTTTTCGTTGACCATAAATCTTGATGAAATACAAAGAATCCTTGAGTAAATTTGATCATCACAAAGACGAGTGAAAGAATCAACAATCAATTTTGAGATTAATCAAGAGAGATGATTAGAATTAGTTTGACAATGGCCTCGAGTACTGTTCATCTCAAATTCTTCTAAAGCGTAGTCTCGGTTGAACTACTAAGAGCTCTTATAAGGGTAACATGTACCTGGAGTAAAGAATTATTCCCATAATTCAATATAAAGTACGCATATACAGTATACATACAATGCACTAAGAGTGCTTTTGATGGTCAAATATGAATTATTAACCAATGAGTCATAGAAAGTACACATACATAGTACATACACTAAGCACCAAGGCAAACCCCTATAATTTTAAAGGCAACATCATTCCATACAAAAACAACATGCAAACAAAGGACTATCCATATCCTCTCATCATGTCACTTCCTGTTTCTCAAGATGCACGCTTCATGGCCTCTCCATAGTACTCGACTTTGGTGAGCCATGACCACAGTTCAAAATGGTTTCCGCCCATATATCATATGAGGTTGTTACCCCTTCTTCTTAAAAGGCCTAAGATCTTTCACTAGAGGGGGTTCTTTGTCGTTAGCAACCTCTTTATCAAATCCAGACTCACTTGATGAGTTGTCGGTCTCCTCTTCCAATGAACCAGCTTGGTCACCCACCCCATCACCCTCATCAGGTTCACTTGGGGAACTTACAACTTCATCTTCATACTCTGAAGAGACAAAGGCTTCATCATCAGCACCATTTTCTTCATCCAAGGGTTCATTCACTGAGAGCTCTTTCAATGATAACATGTAAATTAATAACCAACCGTTAGTACAAAGTACACATATAGAGTATTCATAAATGCATCAAGCATACCCCCTATAACAACAAAGGCAAGTCATGCCAGTAAAAAATCAACAAACAAAACAAGCAAAAAAAGAAAAGGTGTAAGAAAGACTCCAAGCCCTCTCCATTCTTCTCTTACTGCAGCCTTGGATGCCATCATCAACGTGATACTGGGACCAAGTGGGACCATACCTCGAGTTTAATATGTTGCCCATCCTCCTCTAAAAAGATAGCTTAAATGCCAAAACCACTAAAGAAATTTCCCAATCGTTCAAGACGGCAATGACATTTGGCCTTATGGGTGTTGGTGCAAGGTCATTCTTAGTTGGTGGAACGATTTGTCTAGGTAATTTTGTTATGTGAATGGGAGCTCAGCCTCCTAACGAGCTATATGTGCAGAGCCAACTAATTTAGAGGAACTACAACCTCTTATGTCGCAAAACATTAAAACAATAATGGATGTATGATGCCCTTAGGTGTTATGGGTTGCACACTCGCTACACTGATGTATTTAATTAAGAGGAATTTACCTAAATAGCACTAAAACATAATGACTTTCTCTAAATAGCACTACATATGTTTTTCTTTCCAATGTAGCACTTTTAGTCATTATGCATTAGTCATTCTTCAAGCAAAATTCCGCCATCACTGGACATTATGGACATTATAAGTGCTATGTAGAGAATAAAACAGTTGAAGTGCTATTTAGGGAAATGACTTAAGTTTTAGTGCTATTTAGTGCAAATATTTCTTTAATTAACAGTGATGGTCAACGGTCAATGGTCAAAGTCTAGTCAGCACCCCTTCCTTTGATTTTTTTTTTAAAAAATTCAAAGTGTTGAAAAAATATGGTGAGCTTTGCCTAACAGTTTGGTGAGCTTTGTAATTGTCTTTGGTGAGCTTTGCAGTGTAATGTGGTGAGCTTTGCGTCATCTGACCGAAACATGTCATCTTACCGTAAGGTGTCATCTCACTGGAGTCAATCCCATATTATTATTATTAAATGTAAGCTCGTGTGATTCAAGTAATCTCATAATATTGTTATTCAATTACTTTTTATAAATTAAAATAGATATTAGAGTTGGTGGTGGTATTGTTGTTGTTGTAAGTCAAGATCATTCTACCAACTCAGTCCTAAAGCTCGTGTGACATGGGTTTATTATACGGTGTGTGTGTGTGTAAACCACGATAATCTGGGTCATTTTCTGTTCTTCTTGTGTACTGGGTATATACGCTGTTCGCTCTGAGAGGCGAAGAAGCTAGCCCAAAGAGAATTGTCAAGTGTGGGAATCGAACATGGGTTCTTATCCTCTAAGAAAACTCTACTCTCTTCTATGTGGAATCATGGTTGACATTTTTCTTTCTTACGTATCATGATGACACTTGGCATGTTTGAGTAATAATAATAACTGGGTGTCATCAACTCATCATTGTGGTTAGTTGTTTGATTTAAATAAATTAATGAATCTTTAATAAAGTTGGCCATTGACTTCCACTATTACTTTGAGGAAAATGTGATGTATATGTACAGTGCATAAATATATGTCATACATGGTGATTGGTGTTAATTAAAAGGCCAACTAGTATTCCGTTCACAATTTAATAATGACACTCCCTATTCTATTTGTCATATCCAGTAGTAGTATAGCACATGAAGCCTCTGTTGAGAGCACTTATTTAGACTAACACTAAGGTCCAAAAGTAAGGACTTTGAACAAAATTAAAGGCGGTTACATATCGTATATGCAATGCATCTGGTACTCCTCTCCGTGACCGTTCGGTCGGGTCTGAAGAGATTCTTGAGGATGGAATTTGTCTTTTTCTTTGTAATGTCTGTAATGGTAAAACGTTACTATTGGTCCGTTTAACATTTTTTAGCCCAAAAAATGTATGCTCATTCCGTAATTAGTGCCCGTTGTAACTTCTAGATATATTAAAAGTGAATGAATGTATACATACTTATATCCCGTTTGGCATCATCAGCGTTAGCGTTTTGAAAAGACTATCCGACAGTAGCCTTTAGCATTAACGTTTTCAAAATTAATCTACACCATTAAAATTTTATTCAAAACGCTGACGCTAATCGAAATCGTTGTTCCCAAACAAGGTCTTAATGGCTATATCCATTCATTTTTAATGTATCATAAAAAAAGTTGGGTTTATTTTTAATGGAATAAAGGAAGTATATAGGACTAATTAAGGCAATAATAAGGCATCAGACTAGAATAAACTTGACGTTATTAGAGGCATCAAACTTTGGGTGCGTTTGAAAGTTAGGTTTTCACTTTTCATTAAGATTTTCGGTGGTTTAATTTAACTAATTTTGGCTATTTTGACCGTCAAAAAGCTAAAGTTAACATTTGGCAGGTTGAGTTTTCAAGTTGACTATTTGATTTAAAAAGATCAGAAATGAAGAGTTTAAGGAGTAACTTCAGACTCAATATATGATTTGTTATGGTCGAAATGATTTATACCTTGTCTGTGTTTCAAAATTTGAAGTTAAATACTACTTCCCTTCAAAGTATATTCATCAAGTTTCATTTTCATGAGTCAAACTTGACGGATTTTAAATTTCAATTAAATAAAAATTATAATAATGTATATTAGTATAAAAATGATTTCATTAATTTATCTTGGTGTGAACTTTCAAAATTTGATTTCATTGTATTAATATGCAATAAAAATAATTGAGAGATATTATTAATCAAAGTTCATCCAGTTTGACTTGAAAAAATCAAACTCAACGAATACGTTGGGGTGGAGGTAGGGGTGTAAACGAACCGAATCAGAGCGAATATCAAGATATTTGAATTTGTATTTGCTTAATTTTTTCAAATACGAGTTCGAATTCGAATATGAGACGAAATAAAAATAAGATTTAAATTTGTATTTGATTAATATTTGAGTACTTAACGAATCCTAAATGATTTAATAATCATACTGCGTAATTTATATGATAGACCAACATAGATTTTGAATAATTTAGCTTACAATACTTCTTATACTATATCTAAAAACATTAATACATTTTCACCTCACATAAATTATACTCCGTATTTTATAAAATATAACTATTAAAAATCATATGCTTTAGATTTTGGTGTTACGTTAATTTGTTGAATTCTTAATAATTTAAATACATTTTATACTATATTAGTTTGTTTGACTATATTGATGATGAAACATGGTTTGTGGGTATATACATATATTCGAATTTCGAATATCACCCGAATCGAATATACTCATATTTGTATTTGTATTTGTTTAATATTCGAATAAAAAATGATATTTGAATTTGAATTTTTATTTGAATAATGCAAATTCGAATCATTATATTCGAATACAAATTACGAATCGAATTAAAAGTATTTGATTTGTTTACATCCCGAGGTGGAGGGGTATAAGTTTGGATGAAAAAGAAATGCTCCCTATTCGTGTTTACCATAATGGTAAGACTAAAAACAGTTTTGCATTATGCTTTTAACGATTCTTTATGTTCATATAATCAAACCTCAAAAATCATTCCACCAAAATTTAATCCGACGTGAGACTTACCCTACTCAAAACTTACCCAAAAATCCTACTCAAATTTGACCTTACCTAAAATTTACCAAAAAGTATAGTAAAAAATTATTTTGAGGTACCCTTAATATTTTAGTAATAACTCACAAGTCCCACATTATCTAATCAATGTATTCTGTAATTTATAAATTTTATTTAATTATAGATTATATATCGAAAATGATTGACTACAAAAGTCAAAGCTGAACACATAGTCAAAGACATAAGTAATATGTTATCATTACACACTAAACCTAGTGCCCTAAATATGCATTTAGAAAATGCGAGCATCTAACATTTTTCAGGCAGAATTAGCCTATAAACAGAGAACCGTAAATGCTCCAATTGAAGTTGTCATATTATCATAAATTGACAACAAATTCAGATATCAAAAGAAGTGAAGGGGTGGACCATAAACTATTCAAAGAAACGCTCTTCTCTCTTGTTAAGGTGATTATTTCTTGGCGAGCAATGCTAGGGGTACACCAAAGGTGTACCCCATTTGTCCCACACCCCTTTCTCCACCATTCTATTTTATTTTATTTTTATTTATTTAATTTTTTTTTAATTTCTTGCCTTTTTTTGTGGTGATGGAGGGGGTGGGGGACAAATGGGGTATACCTTTTGTGTACCCCTAGCATTTTTCTTTCTTGCCAAACATATAATACTCCCTCCATCCAAAAATAATATCGTTACACGTTACGATGTTTGATTGAATTTATTTTCAAATCATTTTATATGAAAAACCGTATGGAATTAAAAAATACTAAAAATTACATATTTTAAAACTACATAAATTAAAAAATAAAAATTACATATTTAAAAAACTACATGAAAAAATCTACAAAGCTAGAGATAACATGACAATAGTATTTTATCAAATGAGTAACGAAAATACGTCAACAAAAAAATAAAATTAACCATGTGAACAGGGAACAAGAATATTATTGTTAGACGGAGGGAAGGAGTATAGTATGCACCCGGTTTTTGCTAGGACAACAAAACGTTCCATTTTGGGCCATGTACTTTTTTCCATTTGAGTGTTTCAATCATATTGCTACCTTCTAACATAATGAACTCAATAAAATAAATAAATAAATAAAGGTACTGTCATATATGGAGTAATATTTCATTGTTTATGCAATATATCCATAATTTCCTACACACGCGTTATGTGCATTTGAGAATTTGCCATGTTTGGGAAACTTCCATTTCCGTCACAGATAGGCATTTTTGGGAGTAACTATGTTTTCAGGGCTTGTTTGGGAATAACAGTGTTTTCGAACAGTATTAGCGTTGTAAATAAATTTTTAATAGTAAACAGCAACTTTTAGTCTTTCCACAAAGCTAGCAAAAATAAGATCCACACTACAAAATGTGAAGAGGTTAATAAAACTAAAACAGCTATTGCAAAATACATGCAAAAATATGTTACTAGGGAAAGCAATGACGGTTCCACTTGGCCCTGCATCACCAATTGGCACTGCGGTCTAGATCACAAGGTTGGCATAAAATCTTCTGGTTTCACGATATTCACATCCTCAAATCCGTTGTCACCTAAAACCAAGAAGGGTGCTCATGAATAATCAAGATGGTGAACCGGGGGATGCTATTATTATTATTCCCACTTTTAAGGGTGTGTTTGGTTGGAGGGAGGGAAAATGCTCCACTCCTCTATCTTCAACATTTGGAGGGTGGAAGAGGTGAAGAAAATTTTTATGACTCTGTCACCGTCGAAATGTTTTGAACCAATTGAGGGGAGGGCCGAGGGGAGCATTTTCCTTTCCCTTCCTTACCCATCCCATCCCTCCCCTCGGGGCCACACCTATCTTCCCGTTGAACATATCACTCTAGTCCATACCCTCTTGTTGTTCGTACTCCATCTACCTATAGTGTTCCTTATTTCATGTAGAAAGTGTTAAAATTTATAACAAGTCTCAACTACTAGCTCTATAGTTTAAGAATTATCCTCTACCCCTACCCTATGTTGGATCAATTTTATTCTTTCAATTCATACAAAAGGATACAATCAGCCATCTTAGCCTAATCCAACTTGATTTGTTTTTGAGTAACTTCCATACCCATCATCAGTGTAGTATTTGTTCAATCTAATAGTCTCATCCTCTTAAGTGTATAGGCGGGGCTTGAACCGTGGATGTGGAGAAGCTTGGGTGGCTTCCTTACCACTACACCAACATGCTTCTACAGTCCAATTTGATATAAGTTACAAATAATGTATGATAAATGGAAACTCTAGTAGAGGCTACCATTTAATTTACTTTTCCAAAGAAGTAACTCTCTTTACTTTTGAGTATGTGAATTCTTATCTACTGTGTGAATAGATACTATATATCCAAATTTAAGTGAAGAATTGTAAATAGAAAGAGAACCTTGTCTCAAAGCCAGTGCCACTACAGCATCATTAGCAACCTGAAAGGCATATGGATTTTTTAAAAAACAATGAGTAACACAACAACAACAACAACATCAACTCAGTTGAATCCCACGAGAGTAGGGTCTGGGAAGGATGGGTAGGGTCTGGGAAGGATGGGTGTACGTAGACCTTACCCCTACTCGAAAGTAGGGAGATTGTTTCCATACCCCTGGCTCAAGTAACACAGATAGCATAGATAGCATAAGCTCAAAGAAGAGTTAAATTCTCAATAAAGAAAGCATGTGACATAAGGCCAAAAATGCTAACCTGTAAAAATGAAGTGGGGAAGAGGGCATCTATTTTACTTAAAATTTTAAAGGCTATATCATGGACTAAAAAACAAATGGAAATTTACCTTCTGATCTGCCAATGTCTTTGCATCATCCAAAATCCCCCCAGTTTCCAATAGAATCAGGCGCTGATCTTTTATGGGCTGTTCTGTAAGAGCATGCAATTTACCCTTAATTTGTTCAATTGTCTCAGTTGGTTGACACTGGATGAAGTAGGTTGTCTTATCCCGCTTAACGCGAATATACATATCCTGCACTCATTTGCACATACTACAGATTTAACCAATCCAAATTATGGCACTCAATCTTATGAAATAAACCTACCACGTTCTTCTTATCGTTTCCAAAAGAATGTCTAAGGAACCTTTAGAAGGTGGATTATGCTTCATCAAACTAACAATCGTTAACTTTAAAAGGTTGCTGGACTTCTTCCAAGTCCTAACACCAATCAGTATTCTCTATGAAACTTGTCGAATCTAATAATCCTAATGTCAACCTCTTGACTTAAGGCTGGTTCTCCTCAACTTTTAACTCTAGTTATCCACACTCCGGTTCCAATTAAATTAATTATTACTGCAACAAGAGTCCTAGTTAAATTAAGGTGAATAGAACGGGCTCTTACACCAGTTTGTGTTTACAGCTTCCTATCATAACATATGCATTTCTCACCCATTCATACACAAAGAGGATACCCCGTTGCGTGTTACGATAATTGACTGATGTTATTTTAAAATAAATTTATACAAAAAATAACTTGGAATAAAAAAAATAAAAAATCACATGTTTAAAAAAGATACAAATTGTTTTCAAATCATTTTATACAAAACTAGAGGTGACATGACTATATTATTATTCTATCAAATGGAAAACAAAAATAGGTTTGACCATACCAATAATGAAGGGGAAGAAATTTTTGGACGGAGGGAGTATATGATATTACAATTTTGAAAAGCTTAAACATAAAAGCATTCCATCCAAAACGTCAACTTGTTACGTCCAAGCTGTTTTTAAGCACTAGTTTGAGATCAATTCTGCAATTTTTTTGAAGAAAGATCAATTTTGCATTTAGTTCTTGGTTAACAAGATATTCAATCCCGAGATCAAGAGAAATCATACCGCACAGCTTTCAAACATTGAAATTAAGCTCAAATCATGCTGTCATGAATTAGAACCGCAGAATTGACAAAACGATGGAGGAACGGAACAAAGTAGTGCGGTTGACCTTAACAGATCTAAGAAAAAAATAGGAAAGAAGAATTCGAGAACGCGAATGTAATGGAAAATTATTAAAACATTGAAGATATAAGTAAGAGACTCACTACCATGGCGGAAGGCGCCGACGTATTATGACCGCGATGCCGTGGATGTTTGGTGGTGTAGAAGGCGATCTACGACAAACAAAGGAAATTGGAGATGGTTAATGACGGGTTGACCCTAAAGTATAAGATACGGAGTACTAGGTATCTCTTTTTTTATTAGCAAATTTATCTAAATAGAAAAAAAATTATCAAAATAAGAATTATAAGTTTTAAAACCAAAATAAGAGTTTATATTGTAATTGTTACACTGCCACATTGTCATATTATAATTGTCACACTATCACCGTCACACTGCCATCTATTGTCGCCGGCCACCATAGTGTCACCGTAGATCACCGACCATTGAAAAATCACACTGACATATCACATTGTCATCACTTTTTCATCACACTGCTAACACGTATTTTTAAACTACACTACCATTATACTCATATTTTGGTCTTAAAAAATTTAGGACTCATATTTAGATGTTTTCATACTTTTTTACTCATATCCAAAAAGATTTCTTTTTTTATTTATTTAGAAGTTAGAACACTGGCATTGACAAGTAACTAAATCGAATATCACACGGTGACGTGGTACGTTTCAACTAATAAAAAAAGTCAGTGTGTGACAAATGAGTTGAATGACATGTCATGCAATGGCAAGTCACTGTTTTTGTTACTTTTTATAATTTTTAGTGTATTTTAATTATTAAAAATTATTTCATTTATCTTTTTAAATATTAGATGTACTCTTTTTAAAAAAACAATCTTTCTTCAAAAAATAAATAATAAAAAAGAAGTCTGGAAAGATGCCTCATGCGTCACACACTTGATGTGAAGGAAGGCTGAAACCTCGCGAGGAAATGAAGGAATCAGATGATGTGGCACAACGAGGTGAGGAAAAGCCTCGCCGCTGGCAATGCTTTTAATATCAACAACTCTATGATGCAATTGTGAGTTTATTACACCAATACTTCATGTGATTTAGTAAATGTACACATGTAGTTCTCATGGTTTCAAAACTTACGTCACTATTCCTTAGGTAAATTCTTCTGTGGATCTAATGTTCATGCTCATTTTATGGATCTTAGTATATTTGTAGTCTAAAATAAGTAGGCTTTTTTTCAAACTAGAAAATATCTACATGAAAGCCCATGAAAATGTGAGAAGACCACATTTTAAATCTGAATCTTGAGACCAGGTAAACATCACTATATCCCTTATGGTTCTGATATTCCTACGCCAATGTTCCTCTAGATTGAAACACCTTTTAAATATTAGATAAACTAGTATTTTAACCCGCCTTCTTAATTGCTTCCACATCGGGTAAATTTGGTTAATTTAAATTTTTTTCGACGTAGTGAGCGGGCCTCTATGATCAAATTTTTGGGCTTCGCTTGACTCGTTCCGTTTCTAGTGTGTGTGTGCTTGTAGGCTCAATTTTGTATAATTTTATTATCATAATATTTAAGTAATTTTCTTCAATCATGAGGGTTCAAGTCCCTCTATCCCCAAAAGCCCAACAAACTACTCTCAGCTTGGTACTTTTGGCTCAAATTGTTTAATTTCAAGTAGTCATTATTCAACTAAATGTCCATCATTACTGAACATTATTCCTTTCACTATGTCATTATTAAGTCTTATTTAGGGAATAAAAAAGTTTAAGTCATACATTAGGAAAGTCATTATGTTTTAGTCATATTTAGTGCAAATTTACTTTTTTATTATTTAATTTTACACGAATTATCATATAACATTAATCAAAAATAATTTTATTCAAACATCGTAATGAAAGAAAATTTGTGGATGAAAAGAGTATTTATTTAAAAAAATTCTTACACTAACAAACATTTCAGTAAAATTAATTAAAATTTGGTACTTTAAATTCTTAAAAATATTTTTGAAAACAAATTTTCAATAATTCTAGAAAATAACATAATTTATAGATATTTCGATGTAGTATGATTGAATACATAATTGATATCACTATATTATTCTACTAAAAAATATTTAAACAACAAAATTTATATGTAATTTTTAAGATTAGTTGAATTCAAGCAAAATTATTGTTGTTTAATAATTTTGCCTGAATTCTACTAATCTTAAAAGGTCGGGTTTCTCTATAAAAATCATTCTAAATAAGACTAAACCATAAAAAATATCAAAATATAGGACTTCCATGTTTTTATTCCTAAAATAGAAGTTCACATTGTGATACTATGGAGGTAATGTGACACTCTAGACGTGCACATTACTATACTTTTCAGTAGTGTACATGACCACGTTTGGTAATATAAATACATTTTAACTCTTATTTCAGGAATACAATCATGAAAGTCCGATTTTGGTATACTTTTTAACTCCTATTTCGGGAATACTTTTTCCCTTTCCTCTAAACTAATTTGAATTTAGAAACACTATATATAAAGAACATTTTATAAAGAGAACTAAAAAATGAATAAAAATTATGATAACGGTCTCTCGTATTATTGTGGTTTCAAAAATGAGCATCAATGCCCTTTCTTCTTCGGCAAAAATGAACAAAAAATAGTCCGATGGGATATTTGTACAACCTTTTGGAACTATTAGGGTTTTATGAATAAAATTTGAAAATAGACGGGGCAATGAAGCATTCCTATTTCCTACCTATTTTCCAAACCACAAGAAACATTGAAATTGTTTTTATATATTTTATTCAAAATTCTTTTCTCATTTGGTATTTTAAACTAAACAAATAACTTTAAATAGGAGTAAAACATGGAAAATGTATTAAAAATAGAAGTTTCTTGTATATATATATTTACAACTTTTTTAGTATTATACATTTGTATTATTGGCATTGTAAATACATCTTAACTCCTATTTTAAAAATAAAAATATAGAATTCCGATTTTGATATATTTTATATGTTTTACTCTTACTTTAGTTTCTTTCCTTTTAAATTATAAATATATGGTTATCAAGAAATAGAGTAATTGCATACACATTCTTTAATTACACGCCGTTTTTTATATTTAATACTAAATCACCCTTACCTGTTGAAAAGTATTCCATAATATGTCAGGAACTATTTGTGGAAAAAATATTTTGTCATATTTGTTCTAAGGACCAAATGAAAAATGTAAAAAGATCTACATTTTAAATGTTGACAGTTGAAAAGTATTCCATAATATGTCAGGAACTATTTGTGGAAAAAATATTTTGTCATATTTGTTCTAAGGACCAAATGAAAAACGACGTTCAAAGAAATAAGAGAAAATGAGTGCAAAACCGTACCCTCGAATTATTAAACCTGTGTTTTGCCGATGACCTCATCATAGTGTGCAAGGCCGAAGAAGGATATGTTAAAGCCATCATGGATACACTGGAGAAGTTTCAAAATAGCACAGGTTTGGGGATTAACTTCAGCAAGTCACAAATAATTTTTGGAGGGGTAGATAACGATACCCAAGAGAAATTGCTTTGAATGACCAAGCTCCCCCTAGGAGACCACCCTATTAGATATCTTGGGAGCCCAATTTCAGCATCAAGAATTGGTGAGAAGGAATGTGACAGACTAGTTGAAAATATTACACACAAAATATCATCTTGGGCCACTAGATATTCTTCATATGATGGAAGGTGTCAGCTAGTCAACTTAGTTTTATTTGGAGTCATGACCTTCTGAAGCCAACTGTTCATCATTCCATCAAAGGTCATGAAGAAGGTGCAAAACATATGTAGGAACTTCTTATGGGGGTCCAAAGCCAGCTACACTAAGACCCTTTGGTGAACTGGGAAGAGGTGTGTCTGCCAAAAATCTGTGGAGGTCTAGGACTGAGGAATATGACATTTTGGAATAGAGTTTTTATACATACTTATTAGTGGGATGTCAAGAATAAGAAGGACAACCTGTAGGTGAAGTGGATACATGAACGCTATATGAAAGGGGATATGGAGAGCTACAAGCTAAGAGGTGATTGCTGCTACTATTGGAAGAAAATAATGCACAACAGAAAGTGGTTTGAAAACATGCAGGACATCAAGGAGTACACAACAGAGGAGGGATATACATGGCTACTCGGCAAGAAAACCAAATCAAAATGGACCCTCTTCATATGGAATAAACTCACTGCTCCAAAACATCAATTCCTACTTTGGTTAATATGCAAAGGAAGACTGAAGACAAAAGACAGGTTAAGACATAGACACAACATGTCAACTATGTAGAAGAGAAGAAGAAAATCATAACCACCTGTTTTGTAATCGCCCTATCAACCACCAAACTGATGGGGAGAATCTTTGAAGGGACTGAGCTCAAATTAGTGGGAGAAGTATAGAAGAAGTAAAAGGCAAACTCATGGCTGTCAAGGGGAGGAAACTGATAGCATTTAGGATGGGTATGGACAATTGGATTGGGCAATAAGACACTTGGGATGAACCACATTAAAAGATTGAATCCAATCGATTACATAGTTCAACTCAAGAGCTTATATACCCATTATTTTACTCACACTTTTCCGATGTGGGATATACTCTTTAACACTCCCCCTCAAGTGGACAACCAGACCATTTTGAATCTAACCGGTTGACCACTTGCAAATGAACTCCGAATCCCTTGATTTTTTTTATTTAAGCGCCAACACCTAAAGGACCACGAGCCCCTGGATATGGACTTTCAGTCGAGCAATCGTGTTAAACGGGCCACAGGCCGTTGGGTACATACTTCATACGGACAACTGGGCTAAAGACTAACGGGCCGCTAGGAATGAACGTCTAGACGGACACCTTGACAAACGAGGTGGGCCAAAACCTGCTCTAATACCATTATAGAATTTAGGATGTGTATGGACAATTGGATCGGGCAATAAGACACTTGGGCTGAACCACATTAAAAGATTGAATTCAATCGATTACATAGTTCAACACAAGAGCTTATATACCCATTATTTTACTCACACTTTTCCGATGTGGGATATACTCTTTACGGTAGGAATACATAAGTGGTTTTGCAGCTACGTATATGTCACTGGATCTAGAAGGCAAGGAACAAAATTGTCCATGGCCAACCTGCAGTACCAGAGGAAGAATTGTACTTGCAAATCCGAAAGCAAAGAGAGGCCTACTAGAGGAAAAATAGATTCAATACTAGCAACCTGTAGAGGTTTTAGTATCACAAGCTTGATTGATTAAGATGTTGTAAACAACTGGTTTTTGAGGTGGAATTAATATATTGTGCATTTTGTTTAAAAAAAAGAGAAAATGTTTCATTGATTTTTGTATCATTAAAATTAGCTAACAAGGATCTCTTTTAGAAAAAAAATGAAAATATTTAATTTGAGACAGATAAAATGTACATAACATTTTTTTATTTAATTGAGTTTGTATTTCAAGCACAAAAATTTTGGTTACGAAAGCATTATAAAAGAGTAGTTCTAAAAAACTCAAAAGAAATTTATAAAAAAAAGAAGAAAAAAGAAAAACAATAAAGAAAAAAAGAGTGGAGCGTTGGTGCCCATTGCCAAAACTACAGGGGTAGTGGATATATTCATTTATGATTTGAAAAGATATTTTAGTCTAGAGTGACATTAGCGTAAGAATACCAGAACTACGAGGAAAAACGATGCTAGTTTTAAAACCATGAGGAGTCACAGTGTACATTTAGCAAACTACGAGCCTGCTCTTTAGGGCTTAAATTCTTAACTTCTAGTTCCTTCCAATTCCTTCCAGTTCCTTCCAATTCCTTCTAGTTTCTTCCAACTATTCTCATTTTCTCAAACTCTTTTTACTTCCCAACCAATTACTCTAAAAACGATATGTTTTTAATGTGATTATTATTATTATTATTATTATTATTACAACTATTATGTTCATAACTATAGTTTATAAATTATTTTTTCATCTCACTGTTTTTACGATTCACACTTATTATTATTTTTTCTTCAACTTTTTTATATGAATAAGACAATTTGTTTTGTGCATTAATCTACAGGATATAATAGGAAAACATCAATATTTCAATATTTTAAACTATATTTAAAAATTATGGATAAAATAGTTACATAGAATGTTTTATTAATCTAACCTTATATAAGACTCCTCAACTATCCCTCTATTATTATTCAATTTTTACACATTTTTATTTATTTCATAACTTAATTTTGTTTTTCATTTTTATAATTTTTATAAAAAAATTTGAAAGTCAAAATAGTTTAGAGAAAAAGAATAAAATAGGAGTAAAACATTAAAAAAATGTACAAAAATAAAAATTTTATGTCTTTATTCCAAAAATAGGAGTTAGCATGAAAATAAAATGTCAATCTTGAAAGTAAAATAAGTTTGATTTCATTATTTGACACATCGATATTTAAAACAAAATCTTGTAATATAAAAAGTATAATTACAAATATATTAGTATTTTATAATCAATACTGCATAAATAAATTAAGGTGTAACGTAACCACAATAACTTTTTAAAATTTAATATTTTCATATTTATGCTAACTTTATATTATAATTTTTTTTGCAAAATATTTTTTTTGTGTAAGAAAAATAACAATATTTTTTTATCTTAAAGGCATGCATTAAGATAACGTGATGATGATGATAATGATGATGATAATAATAATAACATCTTATAACGACAATAATTAGAATGATAATAATATAAAAATAAACTAAAATAAATGTTTTAAATTTTTTTAGGTTTTCCAATTTCTTTGAAGTTTTTCTAGTTTCTTCTAATTTTTTCCAGTTTCTTCTAACATCCAACTCTCATTTTTCATTCCTAAATAACAGGCTCTACATGAAGTATTGGTGTAGTAAAGTTGCACAATTCTACGGAAGGTGGGTATAGAGTATACAGCGATATCATTGTAGTTTTGGAACATTTAGAGTTGGATGGACTCTCATCCCGCCCCATTGGCTGCCACATTAGAATTTTACTAATTTTTAGTCTCGCCTCAAAATACCTGCAATGCTAATATGCTATCGCCTGCTTGCACTGCCTTTCTGTTTCTTTTACATTATTCATCATTTTTATTTAAAATTTTAATAAATTTAACAAAAGAATTTATTTATTAAGAAAAATAGATAAATAATTATTTAAAAAATAATTAGTATGGTGCAAAGAAAAAAATAATAAGAGAAGGATTTGCCGACATTGTTTCGTTGGTGCAAAGAAAAAAAATAATAAGAGAACATACATAGATGGATAGATTGTTTCAACACGAGAGATGATGTCCGAAATTCAAACTTGCATAAGAACTAACAAAGAAGACATTAGAAAACTTAGGAACATCGACATTGGCTAGTGAAGTTGGTGTCTCCGGTAATGCAGCCATCTCCAACTGTATATATATATATATATATTCCATCCACGCAAAAGAAATTGTCAATACACATATAAAAAGAGGAGTGTTAGTGAGATTTCAAGATTTTGACACCAAATGCACATCGATGCCAATACAAACACATCCGGATATTTAATGTTTGTGCATACACAAACATTTAATGTCTGCGGACATTCAGCAGGTCCCAAGAGATGCTCCATACATCCAATTGAAATACTAAACTTGTTGGTACATAAGTCACATAATGAGATATATATATATACACACACACACACACACACTGTAGTGATTTTAATTTCTAATTATTTAGAAAAAGAAAGAGAAGCAGTATCTAATATACTTGTTTAATAAACATATAAAAATAGTTCAAAAAATAAATAAACAAAACTATTTATATTTTATTTAAAAATACCTATACCTAAAAAATGCTTATACCTAAAAAATATTTTTTAGGTATAAACTGGGGGACGAAGGGAGTAGTACAAATAGCAAATTGAAATTGTGACGGCATATGCCAAATAATGTTGAAAATTAAATGGAAGAGTGGAAAAACATAAATATAATATCTAATTACGGAGTATATAATATAAAATACTATTCTTTTAATTATGGTTAACCGAGCTGTTGACCATCAGATTGACCGGTTAACCCTTGACCTACTAGCTTGTCCGAGTCGATGTCTGGTTTAATTTTCAATAATAGGTTCAAAAAGGTAAATATATATAAACCTTTTACTATAATTTTGCATGTCATTTATTTATTTTGTTACATAGTATTGTACTATTATATTAATTGTCATTTAAATATAATTAGCTTATAACTTTAATTTGTTAAGACATTAGGAATAGGATCTTTAGAATCTCTTTTTCTGTCTCGACCCAGGCCATCGAGTTCTCAGGACCGACCCTGATTCGGTTTTACTTTTCCTTACTCATACTACAAACCCCATACTTGATAATTCATCCATGTCCAATAGACATAGTTTTAATTTGGAAATCTTTGTAAGACACTCAAATTAATGTCATAATATGACACCAAATGTGGGTATGAAAAGAATCACACCAAGTATAATTTTTTTAATATTACAGTCAAAGTTTATAAAGTTTGAATACGAAAAAAGATATATGACGAGAGAATTAATATGCATGTATACAATGCATATTACTCCTACTGATCCTTTGACCGTCAATAATTTCATATTTCTTTTGCTGAACAAAATATTCGACTCAAGATTTTCAAAGAAAACATATAACTATGACTAATAAAAACATTGTGAAATGCCAATACACAATCCTAACACTCCTTTGGGATAAAAACATTAAAAAATCATATTTTAGTTTAAGTTATCTTTTAGTCAGATCCAGTAAATTTCTTTCTTTCGATTCATTTTATATAAATTAATTGCAAAAGTAAAAAAATACACATTGAATAAGAGTTTGATAAATCTAGAAATAACATATTTATAGATGACCAATGAAAATATGTATAACAAATTAAAAAGGAAAAGAGGGACATGTATTTTTGAAAAGCTTTGCAAGGTTTCCATGTCATGCTATGATATCGGTTCCAATCGGACATCTACATATCTCCTAACTTGTAAACTCTCACCTCGGCCCGATGATCTTCCCATCCTCAACATTCACCCTCTTCAATTTAGTTAATTTGGGGTCAAACTATTTGGGAGTGCAATTAAAAGAGGTGGGGTGGTTTTCGGTCAGGCCGGGTAGAAGGATTATGATTTATGAGGGTAAGAATTATCACTTTCGGCTTTGTTTGGTAACGGCGTTTTCGATTAGCGTTAGCGTTTTGGATAAAATTTTAACGGTGCAAATTAATTCTGAAAACGCTAACGCTAAAGGCTACCGTCAGATAGCTTTTTCAAAACGCTAACGCTAATCTCTGACACTGATGCCAAACGAGGCCTTCATAAATCTAAAAACGTAGGTACTTCAATTAGAATCTACTCCCTCCGTTCCACAAAACCCTTCCGGTTTTGACTTTGGGGAAAAATAAGGAAAGTGTAATTTTGGTTGACTTTCCAATTTTGCCCCTGATGTGATGGGAAAAAGTAAGATGTGATAGTTTGGTTATTAGTGATAAAGTATGATGTGATAGGTAGGGTATGAAAAAGTAAGGGTAAAAGTGGTTTTTTAATAGAAAGTGGAAGTGTTTTGTGGAAAGCAAAAAAAACGAAAGAAGAAGGGTTTAGTGGAACGGAGGGAGTATGTCATAACATAACATAACATCAAACCTAATGTTATTTGAACCTTGCCTGCAATAAAAATGCATTAGTGTGATAAAAAAAAGTGAAAAATTACCAATGGAAATCCCATCTGGGCCGGAGTTTGGAGATCCGGTTCTGGCCGTACTCGAACTCGCTGTCGGCCCGCCTGGCGTTACGGAAAGCGCAGCAGCCGATGCAGTAGACGCCGACCAGCAAAATAAGGACGACGATGTTTACCACCGATATCCTCCGCCACTCCTTGCTCACCTCCTCGGCTACCGCCGCTTTACACGAATCGCAGCCGTAGCATAGCACATTCGGGTCGGAGCTCCACCTGTAACAATCCGCCGCCGTATATTCTGCGGCCGCCGGGTAGTTGCAGGAGGCTGGCGGCTTGCAGCACCCGCACTGCGCATTTGACCCGGTAAAATGTACAATGATTCAAATATTTGGGGCGCAGGAAATACTTGATTTTTACCAACGTTAAAAATGGTCATTTTTTACCCTAAAAAATTGACTTTTTTTTGTGTGGAAATTACTCCGTATAAACTACGGAGTATAAATCATAAGGCCACGAAATTCAAAATATGGAATTAGAATTGAAGACTTCAATTCCAATTCTGGTGTTTGGTAGCACAAAAATTATGTGGATTTGGAATTGATAGTGCAAAAATGAATTGGAATTGACAGAATTCAATTCTAAGGGTATCAATTCCAATTCCATCAATTTCAATTCCAATTCCATCAATTCCGTATACCACACGAACCCTAAGAGTATAAATTTGAAATAAATTGTTCCATAAACTCCACGAGTATATACTACTCCCTCCGTCCCATAAAGTGTTACCCATTTTGAGTAAAGTTGAAATTAAGGGAGGGATAATTTTGTGTTGACTTTCCAAAAATACCCTTGATGTGATTGGTAAAAGTAGGATGTGATGTGTAGATTATTAGAAAAAAGGTATGATGTGATAGGTAGGGTTTGAAAAAGTAAGGGGTAAAAGTGGTTTTTTAATAGAAATGGGTAAGGGATTGTGGGACACAATTTTTTTGAAACGTGTAAATCTTTTTGGGACGGAGGGAGTATGTTTTACAAATACTCCCTTTTGTATTGAGAATGGGAGATACTTCTGTCACTGAGTATTTATCTACGTTTGATTTTTTTATCAAATACTCCATCCGTCCCATGAAACATGGGATGTTTTGTTTTTTGAAGAGATTTAAGGGAGTGTATTTTGGTATTGAATTTCCAAAAATGTCCTTTGATGTGATAGGTAAAAGTAGGATTTGATGGGTAGATTATTAGTAAAAAGGTATGATGTGATAGGTAGGGTATGAAAAAGTAAGGGGTAAACTGATATTTTAATAGAAATGAGAAGTGTTTTATGGGACGGATGAAAAAAGAAAGGAGAAAGGTTTTATGGGACGGAGGGAGTATGATAGATTTTGACCATAATTTAAATAAAAGTGATATTATATATTGATAAAAAAATAACTTTATTAGAATCATTATATAAAATATTTTCAAACTATTGTTTTATCTCATTAATATACAATATACTTCATATATATTTTATTTAATTATATATCAAAGATTGAAAATGATTGACTCTAAAAAATTAAAATTGGAAAAATACTCGAAGAGACATTTAAAGAAAGAATTAAATTTACCTGCAAGGGGGACATATCCTTGAGGACAAAATCATAAGAACTAGTAATACTAGCACAAGTCTTGGAGCCTAAAATGCAAGCCCTAATGGCCATCCAAGAATGGGGATTCCTCACCCTATCCCTCAACCAGGGCGAGTAGTTCTCGAGACTACTCTCTCTGTACAACGTTTTAGGAACACCTGCGCCTCCGCGGGGACTCGTCACGACGAACCCGAAGATGGTAAATCCCAAAAGTGCCCCTATGAGGAGAAGCACGGCGACAAGGTAGAACCACAGTGCCCACGGGACGCGAAACCACGCCCCTATAAAACCGGTGAGAGATATGACGAGGATCACGAAGCCGATGGCGAGGAGCGGCGCCTGGAGGAACTTCTGACAGGTCGCGCTACTCCTCGCCATCCATAGCCCGGCGCCGATGATGGGAATGGATGATAGGAGAGTGAGTAGGTTCAACACACCTATCACTATGTTGCTAAATCTGTTGTACATTTATTTTTATTTTTATTTTCTTCTCCTTTTACTTTGGATAGAAAGAAAGAATGGAAATATATAATCTTGTTGTTGTGGGCTGTATGGTTCGATCTTGAGCTTGGTTCCTCAGCTCTTTAGAGGATTAGGAATTGAATGTTTGTGAAAAAGAGTTTAAAGGGTTAATTTTGTAAAAATATTTTTTTAAAATATTGTTTGATTCCTTTTTTTTGGAGAATATTAGCACTGCAACTTTATTTATTCTTCATGTACATGATCATATTCTTCTTTTAGGATGTAGCAAGAACTTTATTTGCTTTTTTTAAGTCACGGGACAAACTTTGATCATTAATTAGTACAAAAGTGATTTGATTATATTTATATTAAGATAACGATCAGAAATATATTACGAAATATATTTTATTATATTAATATGCAATATAAAATTTAATTCAATTGATTATTAAAGTTCATTTAATTTGACTTGAAATATTAAACATGACAAATATTTTAAGACAAAGAGAGTATCATATACCCCTCCTTGCATTGATGTTGTGTCATTACCGGATACTATAGTAAATTTATTACTCCGTACTATAGAAGAAAAAACCATGTAAAGCACGTAGTATTATACGATCTTCATCGAAGTATGATTGTTCAGTTTGATTTTTTCGAACAAAACTAGACAAATTTTAATCATAAATTGTTCTCAATTTACATTGCATATTACACAACAACGGCAACATTACCCAAGTGCCTCAATGGCTCTCGCCCGTTGCGGGGTAAGGGGGTCGGATGTACGCAGTCTGACCCCTATGTTTAAAAGATAGATCGACTGTTTGAGATGACCCATGATGACCGTCGAAAGTTGCATATTAATACAATAAAATCAAATTTTGAAAATTCAAAATAAGATAAATTTAATAAATTTATTTGTATACTAACATACATTAATTTTGTTTTGAAAGATTATATTCCCGATTATTATTCCCATTATTATTGTTAAGAAACCATTCCTTGGTAAAAAGGAAAGCAAAAACTGGAGTAGTGGAGTGGAGAAAGAGAATAAAAAAATTGGATAATTTGTTGTTCGATTCTTATCCAATTGGTTTGCTTTTGTTTGTTATTGATCAGTTTGATTCATTTATTCCCCTTTAGGTTTCCACTGATTTCCAAGTGGGAATATTTTTCTTTCTTTACTTGAATGATAATATGAGCTCTGTAGTAAATTTGCATTGTGTATTGCAAGAGTAAATTTAAAAAGAATGTGATAGGGCTTGTTCTCCACAACTTATCTGATTTGATTAAGTTCTGATCTAATCTAATTATAATTATATTTAAAGTTATTTATGATCTAATTCTGATAAGAATAAATAAAAAGTAAAAAGAATAAATTGAAAAGAATAAACTCTGATGGTGTAAATTACTTGACCGGTCAAACTATACTAGACCGGGTCTAGAATAGTTCGCTTGATTTGGCAAAGTAAGAAAGGTAAAAACACGCAAATTGACCGGTAGGACTTTAGGTGGAACACCTGTAGCCCAATTTATATTATAACGGAGAATGCACGGGTGCTTTTACAAGGAGTTTAAAGAGAGTGAATTCGGATCCCTCTTTCTGAGGTTTACATGAGTATTTATACTAGGCTAAGGGGACAGGACCACGTGCGCCCACGTGGGGGCATGCTGCTGATGTGGTGCGAAGTGACTGGTTTCGTCCTCAAGCTGTCTTGTCGCCTTGTGAAGGGGATCATTCCCTTTGTCGAGTAGTGCCTTGGATGGATTCTTCAGCATCTCCAGTTGTCCTCTACTGACACGGGTCGCTACGCGCCAAGCCCTCGCAGATCCTCTCCTGCCGACACTTTCCAACCCCAGAAACTACACCGGGTAATCTCCGAGGGACGAATTTATCGAAGTCTGGAATAAATAGGATGACAACGTAGTTTGACCGGTATACTTTTTTGTGAAGTATACCGGTCATATTTTGGCCGATGATATGTCGTTTTGCTGATGATTTTAGTCTCCCTTCCAAAACTCTCGAGATTGACCGGTCAACGATTTGGCCTCCTTCTTTGACCGGTCGTGGGTGGAATACACCCATCAAACTCTTAGCGTGTTTTGGGCCAACAAGAGCCCAACTTCGTTCCATTGACCAAGCGCAGTGTTTCATTAATGAATCACTGGCCAGGCTCGCATACCGGAGTTACAACCATGCTAGGATTACACCAAAAGTGTACCCAACTTGTACCCCAAAGAAATGCACCGACATTTTAACAGTTCACACTGACAGAAAATGTTAGTTCAATTAAAAAAATTGTACTGACATTTTTTGTCGATGTAAATCATCACACTAACATCACACTAGCACAAAATGTCGGTGCATGCCTTTGGGGTACAAATTTTGGGTGTAGAAATAGCTTAATCCTCGGAGTTATGACATCGAATATTTATTATTGATGCAAAGAGAGAGAGAGAGACTTGAGGTACACATGAAGAAATACTCCTTAAATAAATTGTACTTGCATTGTGGTTCAGTTTCTTCCCAACAAAACAAACAAACATGAAACAAAATACTCAAAAACAAATGACAAACCTTTGGCTTTGGATGCTTATGAGGAATGATGAACCATGAATGTAGGCTTTTCATGAGTTGGGCATAGGTTTGTTGTCCAGATATGACCTTAAAAGAATGAAAGCTTGTCGCGGGCGATATAACGGCACCTCATGCCCTGCCCCGGTTACAGTCACCAATGTCAACCCCTTATATATTTGGCTCCATCCCCCGACCTGATCCGTATCGAGAACATAAAAATAAGTCCAGAGACCATGTGACAAAGAATCAATTCAACCATAAGTTCACGCTTGTGATTGTAGACCTAAGAAAATTTCACGCTTTCGTTGCATAACATTTTATGAAATGATCACAATTCCAATCTATATAAGGACTAAGACTGGCTGCAAGAAACGGCAAGAACTTGACTGCGGGAAATATATTCCTTTTGACTAACCTTGCCATTGTCGTACCAAGGGTACCAGTTGATAATGGTTGGAAGCTTCAACGCATCAATGGAGTATCGGGTGGCTGTAAATGGAACCACAGAATCTGTATCCCCACTGTAAAACACAAACGTAAAGGAAAAAAACATGTAAGGGTAACTTCTACCCCTTTTTTGGCAAAATTTTATTTTTTTCAAGTTTCACCAGACACTAATGCATATAGAAATAAAAGGTTTCAGAACAAAAGGTTGAAGCATGTGACATTTTGAGCGTGTTTTCTAAGGCCAAAAATGGCTGAAGTTGTTATTCTGCAAAGTTTCTGAAATGGTTGAACCTGTTTAAGTTTCGTTTTTAAAAAAAATTAAAATACGTATTTTTTATCTCTAAAGGAAGAAGCGATAAGTGTCATTTTCTTTAATTTAACCCACTTAAGCCAAGGACAAGACTTCATGAACTTGTTTTTTCTTCCAGTTCAGCCAACACGGTGAAATAAGTGAGTGTTTGGTCGAAAATCAACTCCTTAGTTTACAAAGTTAATAAGCAGAGGAAGAAACCTGCAAAACAGTACCCATAAAGGGAGGGGAAAGAAAAGATCAGCAAAGGCGATACCTGAATACCCATATCTTGAGACCAGCAGCTATCAACTCTCTATAAATAGGAAGCATTGATTTAGGCGAGTCTCCCCAGGCATTAATAACCGTATCGCTAGAAAGAAATTAGCTTCCAATTAGTTAAGTAAATGACCTGCCAATTTGTGATGTTGGGACTGCGCGTGCCCTCACCCCAACTCTGCATTAGTATGATATTGTCCGCTCTGGGCCAAGCCCTCACAGATTTGTTTTTGGGCACCTCCCAAAACGCCTCGTACTAATGGGGTTGGGTGAACCTATATATTTTGGTCCATTTTTTCTTCTCCCTCCGGTGTGGGACTTGGAGGAATCCCCAACAGTTAAATCCCACAAGAGTAGGGTCTTGGGAGGGTGTGTGTACGCAGACCTTGCCCCTACTCAAAAGTAGAGAGGCTGTTTCCAAAGAGACTCCCGGCTTAACGTCGAAAGTTGCATTGCTTGACTAACTGCTACTTCATTAATTAAAAAAGCGCAGACAGTTTAGAGATTCATTTTAATTTATTCCATCACACCCCAAAGCCAAAAAAATAGTGAAATTTTGGCTCCATCGGAGATGATGGAAATGTCCATTTTGTGGGCATTGGATATAAATTTATTACTTGCCTGCATGTAGTCCATGGATAGGAGATGCGAGTTACGTTGGCATGAAAGGCCTTTTGCACTTCTGGTATGTTAAAGTAAACTTCAGAATGCCTCGCGGTACATGGGTCAAATGCTCTGGACATCCATGGCTGCGGCCATTTCAATAAGATCACTTGTGGGTCTCTTGTTTGTAAAAGAAACTAGAAACCTTAACGGAAGCTATCGATTTGATTGTAAAAAGCTCGCATATCATCTTAAAAACCAAGGCTTTTGTGCTATTTTGTGTGTTAAACCGATTAAACCCATCCAATTCAGGCAATGCAGTGCAGTGAAATAAGTACAAATCAACAATCAGATCATATCAGACCTTAATAAAATCAAATCAGAGATGAGGCGAAGAGAACAAGTTTTAAGGGTTTAACATCATTAAAGAAAAAGAAGTAACTCACATAATGACCCCTCAAGTTTCGCTTAAGGGATGACGTGTTATTGCATGGCGAAGTGTATATGCTATAAGGATCAATATTTCCCTGCTCATTTTGGGCGATACTAAGAGCTTTGAGGCATGCACTTCGAGGGTGAGTAGATGATTCCAAATCACAAACTTCACCAAGATGCTTGTATGTAGAATCTGAAATTAAACCGTGTGTCCACCAATATTCAAATGTGCCAATATAGTCATGGTAATCATCCGTTACTGCATTTCCCACCTTGAATAAAATAGATGTTATATTAAATAGAAGAATATCAACCATTGGTGAAAGTAGTTTCAAGATAATCACTCCCTCCCCCTCATCCCAAAAAAGAGTCACGTTTGGTTTGGTACAGATACAGCTCTTGAACGCTATGAAATCCTATCAAAGTTTTAGATGTTTTTTTGCACAACAAAATTTTTCACATCAAATGTGTATCTAACCTTTTTGACATTTTTTTTTGATGATTTACAACATAAAAAAATTAGCTCCACTTTGTGAATTATAAAGACATTTTTGGAACAAAATCTTTTTAAAACGTGACTTTTTTTAGGCGGAGGGAGTACTTAAATGGAACGAAGCTTGCGAGTGCTCATCAGAGTCATATAGTACCAAGAATCCCTTGAGAGCAATAACTGGGTTCTTGATTCCCTTGTTTCTTTCATAGACGATTTGAGATAGCTGTGGAACAAAATGCCCTGAAACGAAGGAGGAACAACACAGAAGTTAACACAGTTCTTGCATTATGCTTTAATCATGAGTCACTTTGTAGGCTTTTAACAATTAATGAACTACGAAATGACACTTCACAAGGTGTGAATAAAGGGACCTGCATAACTTTCCCCAGCAATGTAGAAATCTCTATATTTGTATTGAGGGAACCTCTCAAACCACTTGAGAAGAAATGTGTATGTGTCTTCAGCTACATAACAAGAGTTCCAAGTCAAACAAATTAGAGCCTACCCAGCACATGAACAACATAATATCACTAGAAAACAAACTGCAGTATAAATACGGATCATCAAAAGAAATTTGAGAAATAAGAAATATACGGAGTGTAAATCAGTGTTCTAAAAATCCATGCCTAGCACTCTTTAGAACATTGATGTGAATACGAGAAATTGATAGGCAATACCCGTGGTTTGATCACCCATGGTAGACAAATCCGAGGTCGTATTTGAGTACGAGAAACCCACACCAGCTGGAGATTCAAGAAACAGCAAATTTGCCACTGAAAAAATGCAGATGTTAAATGAGTTCCTAACATCAGAAACATATTTACCTAGCTAAGAGAAGCATGAAACAGAGAGACATATATGACTTAAAAAAGAACATCATCATCATTATCATCATCATCATACACTTGTTCCAAGAATAAGGATTGAGATAAAGAGTTTTCCCATCAGGTTTGATTTGAAATGGCCCAATCTCTTCAGCAGCACCAAAGGCAATGGAAGAGCAGCCAGGCCCTCCATTGAGCCACAAAATGAGTGGCCTTTTCTCAGGCTTTCGACTCGCTGGTGACTCAGTGAGCCAGTAAAACAGTGCCCGCCCGGCAGTCTGATTCACAGTCACATAGCCAGAGTAGTGCTTGAAATCGACATTTCGCGGCTGCCCGGGCAAATGCATTACCCTATCAAGCTCTTGATCTGCATCTTTCAAACAATGGCAGGCACCCAGAAAAATGAATGCCCAACTCAGTACAGTCAATGATGAGTCTTCACTGCGCCTCATTGAAAGATGAAACAGTCTCAAACAACCCAATCAAAATATACAAGTTTTAATTCTTGAGCACTAAAAATCCCAAAATCTTGGATCCATTAATGTTCTTTCTTGGATCTAATACTAAACAAACGACAAGCACAATGTGATGTTGAATATTCTATAAAGGCGAAATGATGAAAAGGCAAAGTCATTATCACGAGACGAAGACCAGCATATTTGTCATGCTTTATGAAAATTCAATGCGCTAAAAAGTCTCATTTAATGATAGAAATTGGCATTTGGGCACTGCCAGTAGCCTTACTTTTAAGTCTTTTACTTTAATTCTTTCTATATACTGCAAATGAAAATTCCCGCAACTCTGAGAAATCAATTACTGCAAAGTCGTTATACCTCGTTCAGATTAAACCAAACTTTCTCTTCTATCATCTTCCTGTAGCTCCCTTTTGATGATTCTCAAATGGATTTCCAGTGTGTCCTTTCCAATTTGGCTTGTTAAAAGTTACTCCTTTTAATATAGCAAATCAAATCCTTTTGTTCATCTTCAAAGTGTGTTTTCTATTTTAGCAAACTTACCAAAAAATGACTTTGGTTTGTTAAATATATTCAACTCCTCAATTTATAACAAATCAATAGTTATAAAAAAAATAACATATTATGGTTTGAGAATGGATGAAAAGTACTTATTATATCAATATTTAATTGCTATAATGTAAAAATAGTAAGTATATATAGCATGTGAGGTTGGAGATGCTCTACCATACTCTGCTATTTTTGTTTCAAAGTATTTGCTAAGTTTTAATTTTTTTATTCAAAATTATAACATTTGACCATTAATCAAATAAAATTATATTATATATTGATATAAGAAAAATTTTATTAGATCTATCTTGTTAAATATTTTCAAAATATTGTTTTATCTAATTAATATAAAATATATTTTTTTATTTAATTTTAGGTTAAAGATCAATTGTGTTAAATGAAAACTGTTATTTCTAGGAAGGTTCAAAAATTGAATCAGATTTTGTGATCATGATAGGAAAAAGTCTTGATTTGAGAATGAAATCCTTGTTCCTTCTAGAGAAATTATTTTATCTGTTTGAGTTTCGGGTTGTTTTCTAAACAAAATTCGATTTCAAAATCGATCACGTTTTTGGAATTGAAAAAATAAATACAATTTAACGATGTGTTCAAAATATTGTTTCTAATATTTTTATTTTTTAGGTCACGGAGCCCACACCATCAAAATCAGCGATTTAAATAACTAATTCTTTTAGGCCAATTTTCGTGGGTTTACATGTAATTAGATTCATACTAGTGTTGTGTTAAATGACTAGCATTTGATAATGTTGTGAAGCCCATATCCTTGTTGTGAGTGTCTAGAATTTCATAATGGTTTTGTTGTAAATGTCTTGCATTTGATAAAAGATAATTCAAATATCCTTGTAAATTATAAATGTCCTTGCATTATGTAAATGTTTTTGCATTTGATAGATACCTTGCACTTGATATAGGTTTTGTTTAGCGTTTTCAATTAGCGTTAGCATTTTGGATAAAATTTTAATGGTGCAGATTAATTCTGAAAACGCTAACGCTAAAGGCTACCGTCAGATAGGTTTTTCAAAATACTAACGCTAATCTCTAACGCTGATGCCAAACGGGGCCATAATGCAATTACTGCTGTGAAGCACATCATTAATTTGCAAGGGATTTCTCAATAGACATTTAACAAAGATAGTTCACTTATCCTCATTGAATTAGGTATGTGATGTGGAACATTGGTTGGGTCAAGTGTAGTCTTATTGTTTCCATAATGCCCTCTAAAAACTAATACGTACTACCTGGTTTTGTTCTAAATGACTTAGATTTGACTTTGGTTTTGTTCTAAATGCCTTGGATTTGACTTTGATTTTGTTCTAAATGTCCACAATTTGATACATATTGGATACTCCCTTCGTCCCAAAAAGAATCACATGTTGTTGTTTACGAGGTTTGACTGAAGTAATCTTCAATTCAATTTATTTGAAAATTGGTAATGAATTAAAAAATAAAATTTATATATTTAAAACTACATCAAAAATTCTATAAAGCAAGAGGTGAAAAGACTACATGTCTACATTATTTTCTCAAATGGGTCATGAAAATGGGTCAAGAACGTAGTTAAAATTTAACCTCGTGAACTGTAAACATGCAACTTAAATTAGAATAAAAGGAGTACTTTAAACGTCACAACACATTGTCTTTGTAATTATGCATATACTCTGCACTTTTTAAAATGTCTTTACTACATTTGCTCAAATAATGCATTTTCTTATTTTCACCAACAACAATGTCAATGTCTTGTGAATGGATTATTAATGCCAAACTTGAAAATAAGACTCCACAATCCGTGCTTTGCAGGAGAGGCAGGGTGAAACCCATCAATTTTACGAACGTACCTAAAGTGTCCCGTGTCATTTTAATGTTAAAAAAGTCAATGTCAAAAGATCCATTGTGTTTTTTTATTATGTGTAGTTGTCTTTGCAATTGTTCTTTTCATTTTTGAGAAACACAAAAGCAAAACCGACTACGAACGATTAAAAATAGTGGTAGTGACATTTTTTATTTCGAAGGCATTATAAAAAGAAAAGAATGACGATGACAATTTTTTTTTACGGCGACAATGACAATTTTGACTAAAGAAAATACTCCAATGTCAATTTCTGTAACAAAAAAATGACAATGACAGTTTAGACTAAAGAAAATAATCCAATGTCATTTTTTGTAACAAAAAATAAGAGAGTATTTTAGCTGCCAAAAAAAGCTCTAGTCTATGGTTGGTGAGCATTGTGTCCAAAAATCATCACAAACAATTGAAAATAGTCCAAAATACAGACATTAAAATTGCTATTATCAGTTTATCACCCATTCACTCCAATCAATACTATTTTATCTCATCTCCATCCATCAATTCTCAGGCTAGCTAGGGACAATGGCAATAGGAATCAGAATAGACTGGACAATTATGTGTGTGTGTGTACATACATGCAACCAGCCATGGTGATGGAGAGAGAAACTTCTTCTTTTTTACCGCTCCGGACTTGTCTTGAGTATGGATGGTAGCGGCGCAGTAATTGTTATCAACTGCAGGGTCAAGTTTTTGTTAGTTAACCTTTTACAGCAGTTTTATTCACAACTAGAACCATGTTCCGAATTGCGAGCATACACATGAACTGACCTCTTGTGTAATCGGGTGAGGAAGAGCAACCTTGTGTGCATGCAAGTTGTATCCGCAGTCTCCGGGAACGGGATTCTCTGGCCTCTGGTATCCGCTGCGCATGCAAAAACACAGAAATTTTCTTCTTTTTTTTAGTCCGAGAAGACTCTATGAATGTTTCTCCGTACTTCATGAGCTCTTTGAGTTTTTTTGTTATACTTTAAAGGCACACAGATCTACAAACATCTTATAGCCACATACAGACAGCATCTTCAGGTGAAGAAAATGAACAAAATGCACATTATAATGGGCTCCGAGTATGAAAGAAAACTACAAGAGAAAATTCACATACCCATCTTGAGCAAAATTGTCATCAAAGAGATCTGGATCAAAGCCCCTTGGTTGTCCCCCATCAATGTAAAGAGGATCACCTAAATCAAGCAAGAATTACTTCTTAAACCCATAATATAAGCAACATTGATTCTAATCTTTTCGACTTATTCTCAGTTCCGTTCAATAAACTTCAGCCTGAAAGAATGGACCCATTATGATATGTTGCATTCGATCAAGCCCAAGTGTCAATAGCAAGATTCTCACACGAAAAAAAATCAAAATTACTACTTTGGTTCCTTTCTTTTGCCTTAGCTGGATCCTGATAAAGAACTCCCTCCATCCCAAAATTAAGATCCCCTTCCTTTTTGGGATGTCCCAAAATAAAGATCACAGTCTTTTAAAGGAAACTAGGAAAGAGTCATAACGTTCATATTATTTCTTTCTCCTTTGCATAAATCTTAGTGGTGCAGTTTCACCTTTTCATACACTGAAAACGCAAACAGAAACTTGATTTCGGGACGAAGGAAGTATTTTACAAAATGCATGAAGCCAAGGACCGAGTGTGAGAGAAGTTTAAACTGGTGTTTGCATAAAAAAAATAGCTATGAAAACCCCAATAGATACCATAAGAAGAAAACCAGAGAGACAATTTGAAAAAAAGAAGATTTACCTATTAGTGGATGACCAATTGAAGAAAGATGTATGCGAATTTGGTGTGGCCTGCCAGATTGAATTTCAACCTGTCAAAGAATTCTTCTGTTTAGGCTCGCTTCCTTAGCTATTTCTTTCAATAGTAAAACTAATAAGCATCTTTAATAGCACACTCACGTAAGTACTTCAACTGTTCACTTCTTCTCAACTAGCTTTCCGTTTTGTTTTTTCCCCCGGCCCCTGTCATCCTTAATCCTTTATTTTCCTACACTTTCCTGTATTCTCCTAATATATTCCCCCCCCCCCAAAAAAGAAACCGGTGATCCCTCTTTTATACTCCGTATGTGTTTGTGTGGGTTTTCAAAACGGATCCTTATAAACATTGGGCCTTTGGATGAAATACCTCTACCAGTGTCCAATTATTCTCCACTTGTCTCTCAAGAACACGAACATTACTCAACGCTGGTTTCCCTGATAATGAAAGAACACACAAAAGGATAGTAATCATGACAATGTTTTAGCTTTGGGCAAATAATGACTAACTCAAAATAAAGTTCCCTTGCTTCTTGCTTTCCATGAAGTTTTTCAAAGGATAAGACTGCATACATCTTGACCCTCGGTATAACCCAAACAAAGTTGGGGTTGAACTTGGTTTGTTGGTGTTAGAAAATAATACTCCACACTACAGAAGGGCTAGAACTAGCTGGAGGTAGCAATAGCATGGCGAGTTCACTGTAAATAAAGAAAACAGTATGGCTATATACAAAACCTGAAGGAGAAGCAACATACAACCCTTTGGCAACTCCAGGATAACGAATCACCCCAATCGGTTGCTCGATTACAACCTACGATGCAATATTATTTTCAATTTGTATTACTTTATCATGTAAAATAGCATGAAGACAAGTTCTCCTGGAAAAAAAATGATGAGGTGGTGGACAAGCATAGAGGAAACAAGACGTATAGAAGGATAAAAACTAAAAGGAACGGAAAAATCACTTACAAGGAGAGAGATTGTAATTGGTGCAAAATTGGAATAATATCATACTGGGAGGAAAAAATGCAATAATGTACCTCATCCTCACTTATCACCCCTTTTGCAAGGGCCCGATATATCTTAACAATGTTCCTCGTCCTCATGACTTCAGGATTGGAAAATCTGTCAATATGAATTGGAATCAGTCGCATAGCTTGAAGCAATGCTAATCAAGAAAGCTCACATATGTCTGGTCTTAAAATTTTATTGGGACAACAAATGCTTCTTATACCTTTGTTCTACAGAATACCCACACCTAGACAGCTAGGCATAACAGTATACATCCATTACATGGAGATCATTTAATATGAAAACCTGATTTTAAGATCATGCAGTAACTCATCTTTTTAAAACAATTCAGCAGGTGCTACCTCTTAAAGAGCCAAAGGTTACTTCTAGAATGCATTTAGTACGTGACAAGCAGAATATCGCATCATACAGAGGTACAAAATGACACAATTTTACAATTTTACTAGATAATCATTGTGTAATGTATTGTATTATAACCAAATTGAGTGCTTAACATAATACTCTGTACTTTTTTCCTTGAACAATTGATGTTCCATCAGCAAAATATGCAGCAAGGCAAGATTTTGCAAGCTTAGTCTTTGCACAAAGTAATATCCCTTGAAGATCAAATGGAGGAAGAATATCAGGAACATAGAATAATAATTCTTGAAATTATCTTGAACAATAACATTTCACTGAAGAAATACCTGATGTGCCTCGTCCCAAACGATGAACTGGGACGGGATTTTGTTCTCCAGGTGCTGATGAAGAGGACAATTTTCTTTCACGCCATTGAAGTTGCGTCAGAACAGTCCGCTGCTGGAATAAGCCTCCTGGTAGTACTTGCAAACCTGAAGGCTTGTTTAGAGCAATCTGCAAACATTCAAGAAAATACAAATTTATCCTGCTTCAGAAAATAGTAGGGCAAGTACATCGTAGATATGGAAAAAAATCAGTGTCACAACCATTAATTTAAAAAAACAGTTATAATTTTGAGAAAAAAAACTAGTAAATGTACCAAATGTTCATCTTCAAAAAGAACTTCCAACAAGTGAGGTGCATTTGGTTCCTTCCAGGGATGGCGGTGATATAAAAGTTGTGCACCAGGTCTGCATTACAAACATACTAACAATTGAGTATTTATTGACTTTTGATGATCCCATAGGGAAAAAAGGTAACCGAGTAGCCACAAGCCCACTACGTGTGATAAGACAACAACAACAACAACCCAGTTGAATTCCACAAGAGTAGGGTCTGGGGAGAGTGAGTAGTGAGTGTACGCAGACCTTACCCCTACTCGAAAGTAGAGAGGCTGTTTCAAAAGAGACCCCCGGCTCAGTGTTGAAAGTTGCATGGATTGACTAACTGCTATTTCATTAATTCAAGAAGCGCACACAGATAAGAGATTCATTTTGTTTTATTCCATCACAGCCAAAGCCAAAAAATAGTGAATTTTTGGCTCCATCGGAGATGATGGAAGACTACGTGCATAGTTATCACGGCGTCGCCTAGGCATCCAGGCGCCATTCTACTCTCACCATGAGAGCTCGCCTCGCCTTACTTTGCATACCTCGCCTAGGCATTGCCTTAGCCTCGCCCTGGCTCGCCTAGTCCAGTACTTTTGTTTTCTTACCCCAGTGCTTTATTTTTTGAAGTGTTTTATACCCCCGGCTCCAGTGCTTTGTCTTTTAATGCTTTATAAACTAGTTTATTTGCAAGTTAATATTTTTTTTCTACTTTATCTTCCTAATTAATACTGCGTGTTTAATTTTTTTAAATTTTAAATGATTAATTTATTACCAACTTAAGTCGGTAACACTTTTTTTCAACTTTGTTTTTTTTTTGAGGAAAGCACTTAAAAGTAACTTTGGTAGTTAAACTTTGATGTATTAGAAAAATAACTTTACCAACTACAATATATAATTTGATATATTTATATTAGTGTTTTTAATGTATAGCAATTCTCCTATATTATGTGTCGCCTAGGCAGACGCCTAGTCGACTAGGCGTCCTGGCGGTTTCCCAGTGCCGTGCCTCCACTTGGTGCCGCGATAACTATGAATACGAGTGATAATAAATTAATTAAATTACCTGAGACGTGCGTCTGGATTGCTAACAACTACACCATCAACCATTATCTGGAGAGATTGCAAAAGAGACTCATCTTTTCGGGTTGAATCCAAGAATACTTTATTTAAAGCATTCCTCAGAGGTGCTAACTGCTAACCTGTTTGTTTTGAATTCTCTGCAACCAACTGCTCAACCATTAGATTCAATTTCTATAAACACATAAAGGCACAACATACAAGATCTACATTTAAAAAAAATTGTAATAATTTACTGAATGCCCATGTGCTCCTTCTCTCCCAAAATGAAGCGCTTGCGATTTGATTTCACCGAGTTCAAAGAAAATGTTGAAAAAAGTAAAGAACAAAAGAAGTGTGTATTTGGCATTTGATCATTCCCCAAAAGACAACAATTTTTATTCAATTTTTAAAAGATGTCTCTTTCTAAAAAGAAACTTGATAACGATTATGATATTAATATCAATAATAATGATGATAATAATAAAAAAATAACTTATTCAGAAAAAACAAGGGAAGAACTGTGAAGCATGATAATATTTACCCCTGCAAGGGAGCTGAATTCTTGTACTTTCTGGAGTAGAACTCGATCATCGTAAGGCCTATAAACTCAAATAAATTTAAAAACATGAAAAATTCGAATACTTTTTCAAATATTACACACACACAGAGAGAGAGACCGGCATCAGCGGGACGAACGCGGTCTTGGTAGTTTAAGCCGTCATTGAATTCAGGCCATTCCTCTCCGAACGTTCGCCACATAGGTGTAGCCGTCGCCATTGACGACGGCACTGTGGTCTCTGCTTTCCTCGATCCGTTCAATTGCTCTCAACTGAACCAAAACTAAACCAAAAGTTTGGTTAGAGATATGTAATAAGATCATTTTTAATGATAAATTATGATATGTAATAGAATATAGAGATTTTATTATTTTAATGTACAAAAGTTTTTTGCTTAGAAATTTCAAACGACTTTTTGTAAACTGCATTATTCGTACAATTTATGAGAACATTGTGTTCGTTGCATATCGAAATCTTCAAGTCACTATAATTTGTTACTCTATTATTATTATTATTACGTTTATTATTATGATTATTATTATTACTCTATAACTTATCTTTATTATTATACGGTATCATAAAATTACCATATTCTTTATTCTTTCACATGCTACCTTTCTTATTATGCATGGTACCAAAATCTATAACGTATGAAATTGCCTTATTAATAATTAATAAGGGGAAGATTCAAGTGACATTGAACCTTGATGTCATGGCATGACCCGGGGGGCGCTCCGGTGCCCCGTTTGTAAAATTGATGGTTCCTACCCCCCCCCCCCCCCCCCCCCCGCCACCCGGCCTTGTCCCGAACACATCAAAACCGTCAATTTTAATAATTAATAATTAATAATTAATAACTAATAATTAAGGTTTCACATGTTACCTTTTTTATTGCACAATACCGAAAAATATAAGGTATGAAATTACCTTATTAATAATTGATAATTAATTTTATAATTTATAATTTTGGTAAAAAAATATAAGGTGTGTGAATATATTTTTTTAAAATCAAGTCAACACTTTGATTTATTTTATACATGGTAATAGCACAAAACTAACATACCTTGATTATTATTACATTTATTATTATGATGATTATTAGTATATGGTACCATATTATTTTCATATTATTATTATTATTCTAAATGTTACCTTTTTTATTACACGTACAAAAAAATATAAGGTATGAAATTACCTTATTAATAATTAATAATTAATATTATAATTTATAATTTTGATAAAATATATAAGGTATGCGAATACATTTTTTAAACCAAGTCAACACTTTCATTTATTTTATACACGGTAATAGTACAAAACTAACTTAGCTTTATTACTATTATAACGTTTATTATTATGATTATAATTATTATTATTCGGTACCATTTTATTATTCTTTCATATGTTACTTTTTTTATTATACTCGGTACAAAAAATTGTAAGGTATGAAATTAACTTATTAATAATTAAAGTTTCACATTTACCATTTTTATTACAATGTACCAAATTTATGAGGTATGAAATTACTTCATTAATAATTCATAACTTAAAATTAAGTTCCACATGTTACATTTTTTATTATACACGGTACCAATAATAATTATTACGTTTATTGTTACTATTATTATACGGTATCATATTATTACCATATTCATATTAAAGGTTCACATGTTACCTTTTCTATTATTATTATTACATGGTACCATAATAATTAATAATTTAATAATTAATAATAACTATGAAATAAAAGTGAGAGAGCAAATAATTATGAAGTTACCTTGTACACGGCAGTTACCATTTCAAGTTTTAGCACTTATCTTTTGTGACTAAAATGTTTAGGTGGGAAAATAGAATGGAGAATTCCCCTCTTTTTAAATATAGTATAGATATAGATATAGATGAATGACGTCTATCAAAGGTAGTAACTGGATGTCTTTAAAAGCCATGAATTTTTATTGGAAATTCGAAAATTGTTCCAAAGATAATTTATGAAGCTTCGTCTTTCCAAAAAAGACTATCATAAAAGGGTGGGTGGTCGTCTTTGTGTTTTGTAGGTTGCGTTGGATTTTAAACTTATATAAACCATAAACATTGTTTTCTTCGAGGTCATTCTCGAAAGTCTCGATATTTGAATCTCCTATATATCAACGCATGAATCCGATTTCCTTGTAAATGCATCTAAGTAGTTAATGTAATCAATAATTCTCATTGTACCGTATACTGAAACTGAGTCGAGGGAAAATTGTATCATACTTTGTTATCATGAAAAATGACGTCAAAGATTGTGGCGTTCGATCATGTGCAGCTGTTCGATAAATATGTATAGCGCGAACTCTTACCATGAACGGACCAATACCATCGTCAACTTCGTCTAGTGTGGACCACACACTAATTAGTCCTTATGTAGTTTGTATTAAAGAACGGAAAAAGTAAATTTACGATGCGAATGTGAGTTTACAACCATGGAGAGTCATGTCCTATTTATACCCAAAATAATTAGTACACTCCATATGAATTGAAAGCATTGTGTTTTAAAAGTAATATTCCTTTTATAAAAATAGATTTAAAAGCATTCTATTTTAAAAGTAATATTCCTTTTTTTAGAAATTATATTTCCTTTTGTATAATATTTTGTGGCATCATTATTATTGAGGATTTAGTATTACCTTGATTAGAAAAGATCCGTTCAACTAATATTAATTACCAATTATAAATTGTGTCATATTATCGTTGTTCCTTTTTTAAAATGATTACGTGTTAAAACTATTCGTTTTAAAAAGGAAATTGGTTAATCACCACGGTTAATACCGTGTGATAAAAAAGGAAATGTATTTATTATAGCTTTTAAACCATTTTTTAGATTAATAATAATAATAAATTTTTAGATTAATAATATCACATTTTTAAAGGCATTTTGTGTGAAAAGTAATATTAGTTTTTAAAAAAAATAACGTTTTCTTCCGTATAATATTCCGTGGCGTCATTATTATTGAGGAATTGAAATTAACTTAATTAAAAAACATCCGTTCTGTTAATATTAATTACGAATTACAAAACAAATTGTGAAGTAATGTTAGCTTTTTTAAAAGTACTATTTCCTTATTTAGAATATTTACCTTTTTATATTACCATATATATGGTTTAAATCTCCGCATTAAATAACATCCGGAGTACAAGTTTTCTTTTTTATAATATTCAGTGTCATTATTATTACTAAACAATTTAAATTACCTTAATTTAAAAAAATTCATTCCGTTAATATTAGTTCAAAATAGCAATTGTTTGATAATACCATATTGCTTAAATCACCATATTAAATAACATACATGTTTTAATGCCTATTTTCCTTTAATAGAATATAATAATTCAGTATTATATTACCAATACCAAATTCTGTATAAAATATAATATAATTATTAGCATTTATTAATTACCAATTTAACTTTAGAATTACCAAAATTAATGTCTAGCACTCTTGGGCAGGAAAACACAAAGTTGACTTCACTTCTTTTTAAATAAAGTATAGATATTGAATCTAATTCTATCTCTCTACTTTCGAGAGGTGTTCATTCGGCATTAACAAAAAAGGAATTAGTATTACATAAATAATCTAATTCTACCTCTCTACTTTTGAGGGATGTTCAAATTTTGGTTCGGTTTTAGAAAAATATAGTCTGTAATTTGATTTTTATCGAATTATTATTACATGAATCTGCCGTACATATCCTTACCGCATAGATGTATGCGATCGGAACCCCTCTCGACTCAAAACACTTCCACAAGAGCTCTCTTAACTCCTTATCGTACGCCCTCTCGAGGTCAAAAATATTATATGGAGGTCCTTTTTAACCATATACCCTTCCATCAATCTATGTAAAAGGTGAATGGTCTCTGTGGTCGATCTACGATGCATAAAACCAAATTGATTTTCAGAATTCTATACCCCCTTCTGCAGCCTACTCTAAATGACTTGGTCACAAACCTTCATAGTGTGACTAAGCAGTTTGATGCCTTTTTAATTCTTACAACTCTAAATGTCCCTATTATCTTTAAACAGCGTAATCAACACGCTCTCCCTCCACTCGTCAGGCATCCTAGCCGTCATGGGAATAACATTGAAGAGCTTGGTTATCCAAATCAACCCACCTTGGCCCACATACTTTCAAAACTCCACTAGAATCTCGTCCAGCCCCAAAGCTCTAACATTACGCATCACGCAAATGGCCCGAGCCACCTCCTCCAAACTAATGCATCGGCAATACCCAAAGTCAAGCAATGCCTTCAACTACCCAACTCATCGAGTTCTAGCCTTGGATCTCCTCCGCATTTAGAAGGCTTCCCTATAAACCCAAAAAAAACCAATAGAGTATTTTTAGGTGTACATCACAACTTTTGTGAAAGCAATAAAATGAGGTTTTTTCATCCATTTCATACCTCAATAGTCAACTTTATATAATTTCCACCCCTCGTGATTTCATGAGATTCTACTGAGTTGTTAGTTGTGGTGATAGTTATGACTTTCTACAACTGCGGCTAGCCATCATCAATAGTCACTTATCATTCCGACTCATTGTGCGTGGCCCACCACCCGAATCTCACTCTTTCATTGTTTCGTATTTCTCCAAACACTTTTGTTTTAGATTTCAAAGTTCATACTTCATCCCAAATTAAATTTCATGTTTACTATTCACAAGGTCAAATTTAATTCACGTATTTTTTGTTTTTGTTGGTAGTTTGATAAAATGATATAAACATGTCACCAGTAGTTTTATAGATATTTTGATGTAGTTTTAAAATATGTAATTTTTAATTCTACATCATTTTTCATATAAAATGATTTGAAAATAACTTCGGTCAAACATCATAAATCGAAACAGGCGATCTAAATTGGGACGGAAGGAGTACAATAATTTCTTCTAAATTTCATAATATTTCCTCCGTCCCACAAAGATCTTTCCATTACGCGTTATGGGACTTGATCAATTTTTTTTTAATTCAATTATTTGATTGTAGATGTAAAATTAGAAAAGTAGAATTTATATAATAAAAATCAACATGAAAAGTTCTACAAAACAAAAGGTGATAATTTATATTTTGTATTAAATGAGTATGTAGTAAAAACAAGCAAATAAAGGGCATTAAGTTTAACCACACGGATAGTTAGTTCCTGAGAAGATTTATGGGGACGGAGAGAGAATAATTTAAAATCTCGAAACTCATCTAATAATTTTTAGTAAATTTCATAATAAATAACTCAGGCAATGTGGTATGCTGCATGAAGGGGAGGGGCGTAAGATGACATCTTTGGGCGTGACCGGGCACGAACCCCTCTGTGGGGACTGCCCTCACACTGTGATAAGGGAGATTTATTTTCTTCGTTCTAACCAATTACAATTTAAGACACTTTCACCTCAACCAATCAAAACAATTCACATATTTACATCATATCACCTTCCATCATACCCACCATACCACGTTTTTTTATCACTCCACATCACATATTTTTACATTTCATCACCTCTATTTTTCAAGCATCATACCACATAGCCTTACTATCTTAGGCCCCAAATAGTGTTTTTAAGAATGACAAATCTCATTTATTGTGTTTCCGTGTGAGTGCAATATGCCAGTAAGATCACCTCCCTCTAAACTCTGAAGATGTAATATATTTACGGGCATGGGTAGCTCAACCGGTTAAAAGAGAGGATGTCAAGTCTATTAATCTTAGGGTCGAATCCCAACAACGACAGTGTGAGAGTTCTTTTATTTATAATAACTCCTTGTGCGCACCGGGCACGGAACGGCCTTTCTAAAGACCAGATTGAGATTATATCATGATTTACCATCTCACAATCCTAACAAGCTGGGGTGTGAGCGCCCGAAATGGGCATTCTACCTTTTTTAAAACATGTAATATATTTGACTTTTCATACAATTAAATCACAATCTTTATTCATCAATCAAACAAAGATTACACTGCATATTGTTACAAAAATTATTGCACTAAATTATTTCATTGTATATACATGTAATGTAGCTTTCATTTAATTATTGAATGAGTAATGCTAGAATCACAAGCAAAGCATTCATAAATTACACAAACTTACCAAATATGTAGAATAATAGTTCCAAATAATGGCCTCAAATAAAGAAAAAAAATCAAAACTTATATACACAAATGGAAAGTTGGTGCATTTTGTGAATATTTTGTTTGTGACTCTAGGATGTAATACAAGATGTAATATATAGAGTAGATTACAAGGATTGATGGAGTTAAAAATACCGAAACGCTTGGTTCTACATCCATTTCTAAGCCAAAAATACTGAATTGCTTAATTCTACAGCCATTTATAATCAGGCACATGAGGGAAATGAATATAGCTAAGAAACAAAGCAAGAAAATAGCCATGTAGTGCAAACAAATCTCTGGCATTGTTTGGCATTAGCTTGAGAGTTTAGCTTTGGGGTTTTGCAAATGTTACCCAACAGTAGCTTTAAGCGTCAGCGTTTTCCACGTCAATCTGGACCATTAAAAAATAACCCAAAACGCTATTCCCAAACGAAGCTTCTATCTCTCTACCCCGGCATGAACAATGTGATTGATAATCCAATCCACTCTTCACACCGTTAAGGGCTGAGTGTGAATCATTGGTGGAACTCGGTGTGACCAGCAATATCCCTGCACCACAATCTAGCCTCTTTGGCCAACTTCAAGCTTCTAGCGATCACAAATCCAGTCTTTTGATGTGTAGACGTTGGAACATACGATTTCGCCTCCTCCTCTCTCCCTAATAACAATGCCTCTCTAGCTGGAACCACGTTCTTCCACCAAAACTCCCACAATATCCCGTGCATCAACTCCCAATACTCGCGATCTCTACCCACGCGAAATATCGTGCTCCCGTTTGGTGTCCAACAATACAAATCCACCCAATCTCGGTTCATGATTTCCATTTGTCCTTGCACTTGAGGCATATAGTAAAAAGGCATGGTCGACCACGGGAGCCCCTCTTCAGGCTTCCCCTTGTTGTAAGGGCACTTCACCTCCAGAATCCCTCCTCCTCCTCCTCCACCTTCTTCTTGTAAGAGTCCGTCTGGAGATGCCCCGATCCAATCATACTTATCATCCGAATGCAATGCAAACCCCAATGAGCTCACCTCGCGTCTCGTGATGCTCTTGTATTGCTCGATAGCCACTTCTTCCATGAGAGAACCCCACTCCATGGCACATTTACTAGGGGACTCCAAGGGTGGTGGATGATGGCCATCGAGCACAAACACTTTCTCTTGCCAAAGTTCGTACCGGCGCTTCCCTTTCCATAGTCCCAATGCGGTGCTAAAGGTGCTCGTGGTCAACTTGTCCTTACGAAGGGCAAACCACTCCTCGGACCGTTGTGGGGCATTAGGTGGAGATATGTTGCCCGTCAAAAGCAATGACGGGCAAGGATGGACTAGACTTACACTTGTGGACAAGCTTGTCGACGCGCACGTCGAAAATATTGTCGAGAAAATGATTCTGGACTTTCTTTTGCAGGGAAGGGGAACAAGAGTGTTGGAGATTAAACTGAATCTGCAAAAGCAGGTGTTGGCCATTGCTGATAATGATACCTATATGAGAGATAACATGACATTAAATTCTTGCAATCCATTCCAAGCTATTAAAGTTTTGGATTCAAGCCCAATTTACACGAATCGAAATACGTGTGAAATTCAAACATCAATGTATAATTAGGGTTTCATAACAGCTCTGAAACGAAATGGGAGCAAAATGTGTTAAAAGTTTCCGGTTTTCTGAAATTGAACTGCAAGTATCTGAGCTAATGCAGTTGAAAATGGAAAAGGATCTCTTGCGATGATTCTATACGATTCCAAAAAAAAAATTAGAAATGATGCGGTTATACATACCTATGCCCTCGCGGACGGCGCTCGGAGTTGAATTTTAAGAGCCGGAGAGCTGAGACGACGCCGTGATTGGTGTATTCTGGGTTCTGAGCTATGGCGGAGCAAGGCGGCGGACATTTTCCTTCTCCCCTAAAAATGGTGGAACTAGGAAAGGCATTTCAATCTTTTCTAAATCTAGTGTTCGAGTCTACGCTTACGAAAAGGAGCATGGTAATAAAAATTGTTTACCCACAATTACAAAGATATCGCAAATAATTTTAAAAGTAAAAAAATTTAAATTTACAAATAGCAGCTTTGAAAATTGTGTGCCCTTATATTTCTATCTACATCATTTTTCATAATAGATAATACAATGTATGGAGAACGGCATTTTTTAGATATATTAAAATCAAATAAATGTAGATATAATGTTTGATCACATTCATTGAAAATCTAGTAATGTAGTACTCCTTCCGTCCAAAAATTTTCTCCTTCATTATTTACAGTTATTTCTAATTTTGTAGATCTTTAATGTACTTTTTGAATTTATAATTTTATTTTTTTTAATTCCAAGTGATTTTTTATAGTATAAAGTAATTTGAGAATGATTTTAGTCAAACATTGTTACGCACAACAATCCTATAGCACAAAAAAGAAAAATAAAAATTTTATTTGAGAAAAAAGAGGGTATTGTTGTCAATTGTCATAGCACAACTTATTTCACTGTTTAGCACAATGTACAAATGTACAATCAGTTTAACCTGTCAATAGAAAAATTCCTTATCCATGCTTCAGCTTTATTTAACAAATTCTTTTCACTATATTTAAACAAAAAAATTGTTTTTGGGTACCTCTAGGTTTATGATAAGAACTACTGGATACCCTAATTTAAAAAATATACTCCCGGGTATCTCCAATTATTGGAAAACTTACCCATAGGGGGTTTTCATCCTTCCATCATTCACTCCGTTAGTTTTTCTTCTCACCTTTATCATCCACATCATCATGATAATCTTTTCTTCCTCCTCTTCATTCTGCTTCTTTCTTCTTTTTAGGGGCTGTTTATTTCAGCCTCTTAATGCTTCAGATGTCTGTATGGTTCAGCACTTAAATGTTCAGACTGTTTGTTTCAGCCTCTTAATGGTTCAGATGTCTGAATGGTTAAGAGATTTGACTCTGAATGGTTAAGTATTATACAGAGTCTGAATGATTAAGATCTCTTATCTGAATTGATCAGACATTTGCCTCTGAATAGTTAACCAATATACTAGCTCTTAATGGTTCAGACATCTTACTGGTTCAGCACTTAATGGTTCAGACTTCTTACTGGTTCAGCACTTACCTATTCAGAAGTTGTCAAGCAGCCCCTTATTCTTCTTCAATTCTCCACCTCCTCCTTCGATTCTAGACTCCCACGGTCCTACCCCTTCCCTTTTGTTCTCTTCCTCTTCTATTATTATTATTATTATTATTATTATTATATTTATTATTACTATTATTAAAATTATTATTATTATTATTATTATAGTTATTATTATGATTATACTTCCTCGGTCCCTGAGTATTTGTCCACTTTTAACTTTTTTCAGTCAAAATTGATAAGCTTTGACTTCAGATTAAATAGAAATGATATTAGATATTGATACTAAAATAATTTTATTAGATTTCTTATATCAAATATTTTCAAAATATTATTTTATTTATGATATATATTTTATTTGATTATAAGTCAAAGGTTGAAAAAAAGTTGACCGAGAAAAGTCAAAACTGTACAAATAAGCAGGGACAGAGGTAGTAATAGTTATTATTATTATTATTATTATATTTATTATTATATTTATTATTATTATTGTTGTTATTATTATTATTATTAATTAGTAGTTTTACTAGTATAATTTTATAAACAAATACTAATTTGCCCGCCAACAAATTTGTACTATTATTAATCTTTTCATATCTCCACTTGATCAAAAGGAGACTAAAATATGTTAAATCTTTAGTTGAGAATTAGTTTTGTTGATATATTAATGTATAATTTATAAATTTAAAATGCTTTACTATGATATTTATTTGGTTATAAATTATACTTCGTCCTAAATTCATTTACGCTATTCGAACAATGTGTAAAATTTTATATGTTTTAAATATGATTTTTTCTATAAATTGATATAAAAATAAAAAATACGAATTACATATTTTAAAAACTATCAAAAGTTCTATAAAAAACATGCGACAAGGACATTTTATGTTGTCAGATGACTAAAGAAAATACATTAGTAAACAAAATTTATCGAAAGACTCAAATAGTAAAACTATAATTCATTTTGAGACGAAGATAGTATGAAATATTTACAATATTAAGATGAAAATTTAACACTATCTATTTTAACGACAAAAATAATGTTAAATTTCATCTTATTATTATTGTAAATTATAACGTACTTCATATATTTTATATCTAAGTAAATAACGAAGTAACAATTTTTAATTTATAAATTATGCCAAAATTTATTACCAAAACTATTTTTCAATTAAATTTTTTTAATATTTTAATTTTTTTACCCAAGTGGATATTGGGTAAGGTTATTAGGGGTATACAAATTTTTGGTGGGGCATTAGTGTTTTTTTGAATTAGAGTAGTAAAACTACTAATTAATTTTAATAATAATAATAATAGAAAAAGAAAAAAGGGGAAATTGTGTGTGTGTGGGTGGGGGGGGGGGAGCTAGATGCCTGGATGGGAGGGGGATGAGGATAACTAAAGAAGAAAAGGAAGAAGAAGAAAAAGGAGGAGAAGAAGAAGAAAAAGGAGAGGGAGGAGGACAGAAAATTACTCGCGGGTGACGCGAGTTTTGTGGAAATAACTTTCAGGTCCTTCTATTTTCAAAAAGACAACCAAGGTCCTTATATTTTGTTGTAATGACTGAGAGGAGACATTTCATCCAATACATCATCCGTAAGTGTTAATAAATGAATTTTTTTCCTATTTTTCCAATACTTTTTTTTCCTATTTTGCCATTACCTTGTTTTTTCTTTTTTTAAAATTTTTTTATTTCATTTGTTTTAATATAATACAAACAATTTTGAATTTTTATACGATTTTATAGAAGAAATTCTAAAATAACACTTTAAAAAAATAGTAACAAAATGAAAGAAAAACAAAGAAATAAAAAAAGGAGCGACCTAAGATTTATTACCTTAAAACATTTAGAAAAGAATAGGAAAAAAAAACATTTATTAACGTTTATAGATGAAATATTGGATGAAATGTCCCCTTCCAGTCATTACAACAAAATGTAAGGATCTCTGCTGTCTTTTTGAAAATAGAGGGACCTGAGAGTTATTTCAACAAAACTCGCGTCACCCATGAGTAATTTTCTGGGAGGAGGATGATGAAGAAGAAACTAACGGAGCAAACGGAGCAATGGAAGGATTGATAAAAAGATCTCATCTTGGTTAGTTTTTGAATAACTAGAGGTACCTCGGAGTATATTTTTAAAAAGAGGGTACCCAACAGTTTTTATCACAAAACTGAGGGTACCCAGCAGCAATTTTTTGGTATTTAAACATGGGGTTTACAACACCAAACATGTCTATAATAACCCTCAACAATTCTGAATCCATCCTTACAAGAACTCCCCTTTATTCATTCATGGAGTTTAAAAATAAAAGTATAATAATAACAAGAAACAGACAATGGGAGCAAGCCCCCCCACCCAATCAGTCAATACAAAAGATTCACCGTGTGCATTATTATTATTATCAGCTAAGCACACTAGCCGGCGAAGACGGTCCCACAATCCGATTCCAGGCAACAACCTCGCCGCTGCAATGTCCAACTCTGACTCCAACGCTTAGTTTCTTCTCAACAGGTCCATGACTTCCGCTTCCAGAAGCTTCCAATTTCCCGGGACCTGGAGTCTCGGCAAGGGCCATACTTTCAGTAGCAGAAAGGGCCATATTTTCAGTAGCTATGTGTTTAAGGCGATAGCGTTCTGCCCGTGACCCGATGACCTGACCCAGAATTGAGGCGGCAATGGTGAATGCCATAGCGGCCTTGGGCATCAGTATGGATTTGCGGAGCATGCCGATGAAGGGTACAGCCGCATGGACTGCGGTGAACCATGAGAGGGAAAATTTCTTTGTGTGTTCTCTCCATATTCCTAATGGGATGTTTGCAGCCATCCCCATGGCGCCAATCACCAGTACCTTTGTGGACAGGGATTGTGGTCTGAGGTTTTTGGCAAATGCTGTTCGTGATATTGCTGCCCTGGCTGCAACTACAGCGGCAGGGCATTTCAACTGCACGCCAGGTGGGGGCTGGATGGCCTTTGCCACCAGTGGAAGGACTTTACTCACGGCCCGGTATGACTTTGCTATAGGACAATTTCCACTTTGCAACCACTCGTTGCTCAGTGCTTCGTGTTTTGAACTTCCACCCTATAATATTTAAAAAAAATCAAGGAATGATTACAAACAAAACATCAAGTTGTAGTTTGGTAAGACGTAATGAAATGTAATGGTAGCATGGTAGGCATTTTTTTGGCTTGTTGACCCAAATTTCCGAAGCTCTACAAATAACCTAAAATTTATATTTTCACTAAACACTAGTTATACAACTTCCCAGCTTGAGATGGAGAACAACAGTAGTTCCAAATATCTTTCCAACCCCATAGGGGTCAAGATGTACGCAACTTCACCATAGGGGTCAAAATGTATGCAACTTCACCCCTGTAAAAAACAAAGAGGTGCCCAATAGACCCTTCTTGTAATGCTGTATTTAGTGCCCAAGACTTCATGGAAAGTAAGAAGCAAAGGAAGTTTAATATGCCATCTTGAGAAGGAAAACGAGAACAAAAATGTTCCAGAAAAGTATCCAATGTATACCTGTGAAGAACTCTCTTTGGATGATTTCGAATTCTTTTTGTTGTTCTTCCACTTCTTAGAAAATGCATCAAAACCAAAAGGCCCTCCAAGTCCGAAACCTGATAGGCTTATGGTAGCTGCCTTTGCAGCCAAAGGGTTGAACTGGGCTGATGCTGGTTCAGACTTTGTCTTCTCATTCCAAATGGACGATCTTCCAGAAAGTGGGACCACACCATCCTGCCCGTGGAAAAGTCGGAAGGCCGTATCAAAGTTGGGACCATCTTCAAAGATAGGACCTTTACCTTCACGTACCTGATAAGAAGGCTGATGAGAGACAGTCCCAAAATAGCATAGTGAAAAGATAGGGGATCCATGAAACACATTTCTTAAACTGCATAAAAGACATGCTTGAATCCCAGTAAATGATCAGGAAATTTAATATTTTAAAAAAACCTATTTCTTATGTTTGGCTTTACCTTGGAAGATACAATAACAACAAACCTAGTGTATTCCCACAAGCAGGGTGTGAAGAGGGTAGGATGTATACACACCTTACCACTACCCAAAAAGGATAGAGAAAAGAGGATGTTTCCATAAGTCCTTTGACTCAAAAGGACTAAACTCAAAATTATTTAGCACAAGATTAGTTGGATTTGCCTTGGAAATGCAAAGGAAAATGAAATATTCTGTATGATTTTTTGTTTGATTTTTTCACACAAATTTAGATTTCTTATTATAATATAAATAAATTAATAAATAAAATGATTTTGAACAAACTTACAAAATAAATGTATTGAATTTCAGTTGAATTTTTTATACTCCAACATTTTCTTTCTAATTTCCCTCCCAATGATCCCCCCCCCCTCTACAACTTTTCCCTTCTTTTTTTCTGGACTCTAAATGCACCCGACCCTAATAGCATTGCATAAATTCAAAAACTTACAGGCATTGAGAAAGCCATAGAGCTTGAGAAAGAGAAATTCGTGGGCTCATTGATGTTACGCAAAAACGGGCACCTCATAATCTCTTGTTGAAATGATGAGGAGTCATCATTAAAGTTCCTACAGAAAAGATCCATTCTTTACAAAGGATGATGTGACCTGCACAAAGATGGAAAGTTATGAGCAAGTGAAACATCACAGCTTAAATGCTAGAGTAACTAAAAACACCTCCAGATCCAAAGAACCAGACTATCAGAGTCACAATGTCACTTGATCATAACAGATCTACCAAACCAAACTACACAAACCAAGTAAATCTCACTCAAAAGTAGAGTCACGGACACGATATGGGCAGCCCTTACCTCTACCCCAAGGAGTAGAGAGGTTTCTGAGAGAACCTCAACAAATGGAGACAATTACAAAGCCCTAATTGAAAATCAGACATCATACACAGAAAGGTGGGGGATATGAAATATGAGAAAACATATTCCCCAAATAATCATATCAATAACATTAGGAACCACGGAATACATTATTTACCTAATCATATGTTACAACACTTCCATATCAAAAAGAGAAAGCACAATGTCTAGAAAACTTCTAGAAATGCATACATCACTTCTAATCTACAAATTCCTAATGCAAAGTACATTATCTCGACGGGTAAATGGGTTGTAGATTCACAAAGCATCCTTTCGAGCGAGAATCCAGGGAAGGATCACACTATAAGGAGGCCATGTAGAAATGTCGTCAAGCCTTGTCTAACAATTTCAGAAGAGTCATACAATGACAAGTCAACTGGTGTTCCAGGGTTCCCCTTCCTCATCCTGACGGGTAAAACACAAAGCATACATCCAACTACAAAACATGTACTCAATTACCTCCCCACACAATGAATTCTTAGCTCAAGCTCAAGCACCTCAAATCGGCAACGGACACAATAATCTTGCCAATAATTCATGAAATTCAAGACAACTATGTCACAGAAACAAATGCAACAACCTAAATATTTCCTTTCTCAATTCATAAAAATCAGCTAAACCAACTGGCAATCACACAAGCAAGCAGATTCACCTATAGATTAATAATTGAATCAAATCACATCGACTTCAACACGATGATCAACCTCTTAATTTCAGCTGTTGAGATTTAAAAAAACTAACAGGAAGATGAACAAATAAACACCAACAGTCCAAAGTCAAAAGAACTTCTCGGAACAACTGAGCCCTGAAAATCTGAGATCTTGCGAACGCGAACAGAAACGAACGAACAGCTAATCTGAGATTCTGGTAAGAGAACCCTAAAAATCAAACTCGAACAAAAAAATAATAAGAATATGAATGGAATCAAACCTGAAGAGAGATGAGAGCTTTCCGATCGAGAGAGAAATGGAGCGGGTGGGTGGGTAATCGGTGACCGGTGGAGGGAGAGAAATTTTTAAACGACGCCGTGGAGAGCACAAGCCATGTTTGACGGAGACTATAAAGAAGGTAAGGTCGTTGTGGAATTGGTATTCATGGCGTGTGCTTTCATATAATTGTTGACTTTTATTTTGATTTCTCCTTTTCCTACATTGATTTTATTGCTTAGTTTGTTCCCCATAAAATTAGGAATACATTAAAAAAAATCTACTCCCTCCGTCCTAAAACTTTTTTCCCAGAGCACTATTCCAACTTCACGGGAATTTATATTTATTTGTGTTTTTCATGGCTTATATGATAAAATAAAATATTCTTGTCACCACTTGTTTTGTTGAACTTTTGATGTAGTTTTAAATATGTATGTTTTATTTTTTATTTCTATACCAATATTTAAATAAAATAGATTGAAAAAACTTGGAATTTTTCTTCGTTTTGCGCAACGGAAAAAAAGTTTTAGTACGGAGGGAGTATCTTTTATTCTTTTCTTTATATATAAATTTGAGATTCTAAACTCTAAGAACTTACACATGACATTGCTTACGTGACACCTATGTGAAATTGAAAAGAGTTAGATTATTTTTAAAAATATTTTTCTATTCCATTTTCCTCCACTTCTTAAAAAGAATTTAAAAGAAAATTAAATACATACTTACTTTTTTTTATTCTTTCATCTTCAATTATTTTCTCCATTCCTTTCCCTTATTTTTTTAAAATGATAACTACGCTTTCAAAAATTAATTAATCCAAATTTAATACTCACCGTATTTTTTCTCGTATTTCAACTCATGTTAAAAATTACACACGAGTTTTGAATTTAGGAATTTTTTTAATAAAATATAATAGTCATGTCAAGTATATATTGAATTATGTTGCATCAAAAGATTTTAAAACACTATGTGGTTTTATCAAATTACTACTCAAAATATGTTTACAAGTATTTCTAAAAAATCAAAGTACCAAGTTTTAATTTTTTATTTTTGATCTATTTGATCTCAGAATTTATTTTAATAAATACTCCCCCATCTACAAATTTCCTCTTGTTACGATGATTTAATTGAACTATTTTAAATTTGTTTTATACAATAATTGGTGTGAAATTAAAAAAATTAAAAATGTTCCCTATGTCCCACAAAATATTTCATGTTTTGATTTTTGGGAGGAAAAATTGTAAAAATTTGACCAAAGTGAAACGAAGATAAATGAAATGAGTAGGGCTCGGGAAATATCAATTTTATTGCTCGAGACTATTAATGGACTTTAATTGTAGCACATAATTTAAGTTGTAGGATGGTTTGGACCTAGAGAAGCAAAGACAATTACAGTAAATGAGACTTTGAGTTGAATCAAAGACAAAGATTAGAGGCATATCATTGTGGAAAGAGATTGCAAGAAAGTTGTTGATGCTCTTAATAATTTCATCATATCAATGACTGTCTTATTTTTATATTATTATTGATTATTGTAAGCGTCTCTAGTGTCTTTTAAGTTTCAGCTTATTTTTTGCCCTCTGAATGAAGTTGTTTGTGTGTTAGTTCGAGTTGCGTGTTCCTTTGAGAGCATGGGAGAGTGAATTGAGTCATCTCTAGTTTTTCTTGTAACATCTATTTAATTTAATATAGTAACTTATTTATAAGAAAATAATGATTTTATAAAAGCTTAGTTTATGAATGAACAAATGTTTGAGAATCTTAAGTCACAAAATAATTTTAATTTGAAGAAAGTTATATTCATTATGTTATTGAAAAACATTGTTTAATTATCTAAGCTGTGTAATAGTATAAAGTTAATAGTTGAAAACTTGTAAAAAATTATCTTTGGTGCACTTGTAATATTAGAAAACAAATTCGTAGAGAAGATTTACACGGCCTAAATAAATTATGTATCATTTCATATAAGGTTACATTTGAAGTTTCAAAGTGTACAATTTCTAATAGTTTATGTTTCGTAATGATTATAAATAAAAGTTATGGTCAAACATTGTTATTTATAACTAAATAAAAGTTAGGCGGCCTAATAGCTTCAGTTCCCCCTGTGGTTTGGAAAATTGGCACCAATATCCTCTTTGTTTTCAAAACTTATTTCTAAAGTCCATGTGGTTTCAAAACGTTGCACCCACACCCCCTCTAATCATTTTCCGGCCATTTTCCAGCGAAGAGGGGGCATTGGCGCATAATTTCTAAACCATAGGGGGTACTCGTGCTCATTTCTTATTTTTCGTTTATTATTTGTGTTTTTCCTTCTTTTTCCTTTTCCTAGATTTTTTTTAAAATTCTTTTCAATTTTTTATAATGTTTTAAAATTTTTTAAAATTCTTTGTGTTTGAACTAATAAAAAAAATTAACATACATTACATCTATCTCAAATTAAACATTTTCACTTTTTCTTACATAGAATAATTTTTTAGAAAGTTCAAAAAGAAAACCAAAAATACAAATATGGAAAAACGAAATGAAAAAATTAAAATACGAAAAAAATAGTCTTCTACAAAAATACAATTTTGGAACACACCTAAAAATATCCTCAAAATTGAGATGTCAAAAAAGGATAATCATTTTTATTTTTGTATTATTTTGTTTCTTATTTTATTCATCATTTTTTAGAAGTTCTAAAAAATTACCTTTTTTCGGAAAAAACAAAAATTGTTAATTTGAGATGTGCCGATGCATTATATGTTATTTTTTTCAAACAAAAATAACTTTAAATTTTAAGAACATTATAAAAGTAATTGTAAAATAACCTTTATTAATAAATGAAACAAATAAAGGAAAAAAATGGGAAAAAACATAGAAATAAAAAAATCAGCACTGGTACCCCCATGGTTTAGAAAATAAGCACGAATGCCCCCCTTCTTCGCCGGAAAAATGACCGGAAAATGATCAGAGGGGGCATGGTTGCAGCGTTTTGAAACCACAAGGACTTTAGAAATAAGTTTTGAAAACAGGGGGGGTATTGCTGCCTATTTTGCAAACCACGGGGGGTACTGACGCTATTTGGCCAAAGTTAGGCAATTAAACGTTTCTTTGGTAGTCTTTATAACATCACAAAAAATGTTGTATGCCTCGAATTTTCAAAATCTTGTAATTCAAATAAGACATTGGTATGTTAATTTTCAGATATATGTACTAGAATTTTCATTAGAAAATGTTATATGTCATCACTATTTTAACTTTTAAGATTGTTGTTTTTTGTTTGACTTTTTAAAAAAATGTTGTTGCAAAGTAAAATTTAAAATTTGAAACAAAAAATCATCTCACATCGTGCATGGCACGAGTTAAAATACTAGTGTAAGAAATACCTATTAAAACTTAGTTTATAGTCCGCATTTCACACTAAAGAAAGCAAATGATAAACAAAACAATGAAGTATTTCAAATGCTTAGCTTGTTAATATTTTTATATTCATATATTAAAAACTCGAATAATAGTAAAAATTGAACCAAAATTTTAAAATAAATTTATTATTTAATGAAAAATATAAAGATTATTACATTTATAATAAATTAGTATTAATGTTTGGTTCGGTTTTTTCAATACGGAAAGTTACTTCGTACCATTCCCAAATACTATACCGACTATTTAGTTCGATATGATTCTGTTTCTGGGCGTTACTTTTTGGTTTGGTACTCTTGTTTTTTTAGAAATTTCAGGTTCAGTTTAATACTTTCTCGTCCTAGTGAACATGAAAAACAAGAGACCGTCTAATTAAAGAAAGATTGTCTCGATCCAAATGGTCTCAATTTTATTTATTTATTCATCTAGTTGGGACTCAAAAATTGGGATATCTATTAAATGAGTGTCTTACTTTTTAAAACTCTTATTCTAAATATATTCAACTCCTTGATTCCCCATTAGACATGCTCCAACATAATTCTTAGACTATTGGTATGGGGTGCGACCCAGAGCTGGCCACCAGTCATCGTGCGCGCATCGTCACACTCCTTCTGTTGTGCCACACCGGGCGTGATGGGGGCGTGACCACAAAGGGGTGACCACCTCACTGCGGTTGCACTGCTCGGTTTTTTGCGCTACATGTCATTGAAAAAACGGCTATATATAATGTCATTGCACATTTTTTTGGACCATTACTTCTCAAAACAAAATCTACAAATACTCATATCTTCACTCGTCTATCTTCACCGATCTCAATTTTTTCCTTATTCAACTAAAAAAAGTATTTATTATTATCTCTCTTTTCAATTTTATAGTATCTTCTCTCTAATGGATTCAAACAACCCCAATAACCTTTATTAGATGAGAAATTTACCTAAATAGGACTAAAACATAATGACTTTCTCAATATAAGACCATATGTTTTTATTTCCAAATGTAGGACTTTTGGTCATTATCATGTAGTCATTATTCAAGTAAATGTTCATCATTGCTGGACATTATTCTTCCCACTAGGTCATTATTAAGTCATATTTAGAGAATAAAAAAGTTTAAGTCCTACATTGGGAAAGACATTATATTTTAGTTCTATTTAGTGCAAATTTTACTTATTAGAATATATTTTTTGGTTGTTATCAAAATATGCCAAACATATCTGGCCATAATATAACCCACTGATATGCCTATTTCAAACACCCGATGACACTGAACAACATGTTTATGACATTTGCGAATTAGTCCCAACAACAACAAAGTTTTTTTGCAATCAATGACGAACGTCGAACCATATTTGAATATGTGTGCCTAAGACGCAACCCGAACCAAAGCCCGAGCCCGCGTCAGAGGCCGACCTTGAACACACGCGTAGAAAGTCAAGATCGCACAACAATAACAATAACAACAACACTAACAACAACAACAACAACAACATGCAACAACAACAACAACAACAATTCTTGATGGGATCTAATCTGATTGGGTCTGATCTGATTCGATCTAATCTGATCTAATTTGATCTGGTCTGATCTGATCTGATTTTAATAAGAATAAGAAAAAATAAGAAAAAATAAATTGAACGGAACGAGGCCAAAGTAATCTTTTAACTATTGGTTTGCTATTTGAATCTAATATTTGATTAACAGTATGTTCTAAAATATGCTAGCAAAAAATTATTAAAAATCATACATTAAAACTACTTTTCATTAC